CAGGGGGTGGGTCTGATGGTGGCGGGCCTCACCTGCTTCAACTCCATTGTCCCACGAGGTGGAGAGCTCAAAGGACACTGGTCCTTCATGGTTTGGGGAAAACGTTTTTTTAAAAAATTGAAGTCGAGTGTGATGGCACACGCCTTTAGTCCCAGCATTTCTGAGGAAGAGGCAGGCAGATCTGTGTGAGTTCAAGACCAGCCTGGTCTACAGAGTGAGTTCCAAGACAGCCAGGGCTACACCCCCGCCCAGCCTCCTCAGGCACTGCACTCAGATGGTGCACACCCAGGCAAGACACCAGCGCACACGAAATAAAAATCTTTTTGTTGTTTAATAAAGAAAATGGAGGCGGCCGCACCCAGGGAGACATTCTCTCCCTGAAGCTTGTCCCTCCATCCTGGTTCTCCCATCTCTCCGGCTGATGTGGGTCCTGCTCCAGACCCCGCCCTACCACCCTTGAGTGACCGCCCATTCCCAGACCCCGCCCACCTCCCTTGAGTGACCGCCCATTCCCAGACCCCCGCCCACCTCCCTTGAGTGACCGCCCATTCCCAGACCCCCGCCCACCTCCCTTGAGTGACCGCCCATTCCCAGCACTGCTCTCCCATGCTCAGGCGTGTCAGCCCTTGCTCTCTGCAGGAGCAGACAGTCTCAGGGTGGGGATGTCACAGGGACGACAGGTGGGACCTCGGCAGTGCCGTTCAGACTCTCACAGGACAGGCAGGAGCTTGGCACCCTCCTTCAGACCTTCGGGACCTAACTGTCAATCACGGCTCTTCCCGGACACTTCCCGGGGCAAGCTCCCGGATCACTAACCGACCGGGATTGTGCATGACATGAACGCCAGACACGGAGCTTGGAGGACAGTCTTGCTGAAACTGGGACTAGGCTGATGGCCTCCGAGACCCCACATTCCTGCTTCTGTTCCTGCCGTGCTGGAATCATCAGTACATGCAACCAATTTCAGCATTTTAATTTCAAAGATAGGGTCTAGCTATGTAGTCGGTCTGGAACTCCAGCCCAGGCTGGCCTCAGACTCGCAGTCACCTGCCTCTGCCTCCCCAGTGCTGGTCTTAAAGGCTATATAGTAGCAGGTGACCTTGAACTCCTGATCCTCCTGCCTGCACCTAGCTCTGAGGTGACATATGCGGGCTGCCATACGGTTTATGTGGTGCTGGGGGCTGACCCAGGACTTCATGAGTGCCAATCAAAGTCTGCCCACGGCGACCCAGCCCCTCTGTCAGTGGTTCAGTTGGAACTGCTTCCAGAGGCTCTTCCTGGATGTCCCTCAGCCCGATGGGGAGCACCCCCAGGCTGCACGTGTTCCCCACCCAGAATTCACAGCACTTTAGTTCAAGCCCTTCCATTGCACAATCAGAAAACCGCCGCTCAAACCCATAACCCTTGCTTAGCCAGCACGGGAGGGGAGGGGGCCTGGAGATGGTCTCTCTTCCCTGCAACCCCGGAAGGTGGGGAGGGGGGCCGAGCAAGGCAGGGAACCCCAACTCTCATAGGACGGTTACGATGGGCTGCTCACACAGAGACCCTGAGCTCCGTCCACAGGACCCGTCAACCCAGCACTCCACAGGTAGAGGCCAAAAGATCAGGAGTTCTAGGTCGTTCTCCACTACATAGGTTTGAGGCATCAAGAGCCCTGTCCAAGAAAGAAAAGCAAGCTACACATGGTGACACTTGCCTTGAGGGAGACTAATCCCTGTGAGCTCCAAGCCAGCCAGGGCTGCACACCGAGACCCTGTCTCAGCTAACACTTACAGAGGTGGCAAGGCAGAGCCCACAGGTGACGGTGGCCTTGGCCTTGAGCATGAGGCAAGCAGGGGGTGACAGACGGTGAACTGTGCCTGTGGAGTCAGAGGACAACTCTGGAGCTGGCGCTCCTGCCTTCAGGGTCCCGGGCTCCCGTGAGCCTCACTTGCTCCTGCTCTTGACTGTGGGCTCCCCAGGGGACAGACACCCTCCTGGCACCCTCAGCTTTTGGGGGAAAGAGACTTGTTGCCTCCCCACAGGGTGCAGCCCTTCCCCAGAGCCCACACCTGCTCCCACAAACAAGCCTGTGGCTCTTAGTGTCACGCCCTCCCCAGCAACCGTGCTGAGGCTGAGCCCAGCTTCCCAGACACCACCACAGCCCCCAAATAGCAGCGGTGACCTTCCTGCCTGCCTTCCACAAACCGTGGCCTTGTGGGGACTGAGGTACGGAGAGCTGGCGGGGGCTGGGGAGAGCCACCCTCCAGGGCCTGCCCTGCACACTGTCCACTCCTCTGCAGACCCCCAAACATACAAGGAAACCCATTTCAGTGTGGCGTCTGGATGGAAAAGAAAACCTCACTTCTCAGGAGGCCTCCCAACATGGCCAGCCCCGGGAGACTGGTTTTCTTGTTGATAGTCTCATGTAGCTCAGGCTAGCCTTGAAATTCTGATCCTCTTGGTTCCTCTCATCTCCTCAGAATCAGGGTTACAGTCGTGAACCACACACAGTTCATGTAGCACAGGGGATAGAGTCCAGGGCCTTGTGTGTAACAAATGAGCTCCAAGCACTGAACCCCAACACCGTACTCTACTGAGCTGCAGCCCAGCCCCTCTGTCCTCATTTCTTTTAGACGGGACTGTCCTTTGTGACTCTGACTGACCACCACCTCCCCTGCCCCAGCCTCCCGAGTACAGGGTCACAGTTCAGATACATGCCTGACACCTGACACTCAATTCTGAGGTTCCCGGCTCAACTCTGAAGGCGGCTGGCCACTGCCAGGTCCCCCTGGCCTCCCCATGCGGTCTGAGCAGCCTTGCCACGTCACAGGCCCAGGACCCATGTCCACACATAGCAGAGATCAAAGCACTTTAATTGGGGGCAGTTCCCGGGCCCAGCCTGGGTACTGTGGTGGTAGCACCTGCCGGGCCTGCGGTCTGCCTGTGTCTGCCACCTGGTTTCCCTTTCTTGGTGGGTGTGGTGGTCTTCTTCCCTGACTGGTGGGACCGTAGGCCAGGGGCCGCCGAGTCAGTGGCAGGGACCCCCACATGGGGCAGTGGCTCATCGTCCAGGGCCTTGAAGCTGAAAACGTAATCCACACTGGCCACGGCATCCAGGACCTCAGGGACGCCATAGTCGAAGGACAGCAGCTCGTCGGGCAGGTGCAGGGAGCGGATGTCAGCTGTGCTGTCGCCCTCACCACCACCACGGTCCGTCGGGCTGGGCCCAGGACGCCTGTGCAGGGCCACCTCAGGCTCAGCGCCACCAGGGAGACAATCGAAAAGTTTCATGGCATCTTCTAGAAGGACCTTGTCCGGTAAGAAGAAAGCGCGGGCCACCTCGGGAGGCACAGTCTCACCTGAGCCCATTGGGGTAGTGTCCTCCACCTCAGCCGCCTTGGGGTCCACAGGCCCGGGAGGGAACCGCAGACCCAGCCTGGCCACAGCACTGCCCTGCATCTCCCTGGGGGCTTCGATGGGCCTCATGGTCACCTGGGGCCCTGGGAACTGGCTAGCATGGCCCCGGAGAGGGCCATAGGGTCCAGGTGGCAGCGTGTGTGCTGTGGGGACTGGGGCGAGCAAGGGCTTAGTCTCTTTGGGGGCTGGAGGGAGTGCCAGGCCATCTCTGAGCATCTCCATGAAGTTGAGGGACCCTCCATCCCCCACAAAGCCCACTGCCTCGGGCCCAGACTCCTCGGGCGGAAGGTAGTGTGTGAGGAACTGTGGCCCTCCGGGAGCCGGCTGGTAGTGGGGGTAGGGCGGAGGCAGAGGCCCCGGGGCCTTGAGGTAGGGTGGAGCCTCCAGCAGGTAGCCACTGGACAGGGTGGGACCCCCGGCCACTGCCACCTTGTACAGGGACGACTGGCCGAAGTCGGAGGTGGCCCACTCGATCCGGTAGATGCGGGGGTCAAAGAAGCAGCCGCAGGGAGCCATCTGGAAGCCTGAAGGTGGCGGGCACTGAGAAGGGCGTCCATGGGGAACCAAACCAGGGATGGCAGGGACCCATAGGACACGGCCCTCACCTCAGAGGTGTCTGCTGCTGGCTTTGTCAGCAGGCATCTGGGGACTCATGGAGGGTAAGACACTCGGAGACTATTGGGGAGACTCCTATTCTCAGGGGAGCAGTGTCCTGAGTTTGTGAGTGGCTGGGCCTTGTGGAAAGCCTTACCTAGTGGCAGCTGTTGTCACCGAAGCAAGCTTCGGCCTGGTCTCTAGTTGTCACTTCAAACTGTGGCACATGAGTTAGTATGGGGGGATCTGTCTGGGGTACAGAGGCGCCCCAGGGTCTCATCTTGGGTCAGGACGGAGCCTGCTCTGAGCGTGCTCAGGGCGCTGGCCAGTACCTGCTGGAGGCGCCGACAGCACATCCTGGTCCGAGCCCGGATTCTGATAGAGCAGGCTGGCGCTGGCTGTGGATAAAGGCGTCTGGTGGGTGGGGCAGGAGCCCAGGCCCCAAGGCCATCACACACCCTGCCTGCCACCACCATTGTACCTATGGTGGGAAGCGGTTCTGGGCCACCTGGCACCTCAGTGCCCTCCAGGCCCCGTGGGTCGAAGCCTTCCTGGGGTATGGCTGGGGGGTAGAGGGTTTTGGGGTGCTGCATGGGGCAGACAGGCCACCCTAGGGGAGGGGGCCCGGGTGGCAGCGGAGGCACCTCGGGGACAGAGTCCCCTGGGTTGTTTGCCCCGTTGCTAGGTGGAGGGTTCCAGTCCAGGATGGGCCTACCACTCGGATTCCGGGGTGGGGGTGGGCAGGAGGTGACTCCCTTCACTGCCTGGACAGACACACCATGGGCCAGGCTGCCCTGATTCACTGTCACGAGGGTGCTGGCCAGCATGACGGATAACAGGGCAGACGGGGACCATGCACCAGCCAGGGCCGCATCCCGGAGGAAGAGGAAAGGATGCCACCTCATGACACCTAAAAGAAAACTGAACGTAATGGTGGGTGTGTGTCTAGGGTTCCAGGAAATCCCAGGAAACACGAAGCCTTGTCTCAAAAAACCAAGAAAAAGAAGTTGTAGAAGAATAAAATTTATTGTCTCCGTTGGCTACTTGTAGGCATTGGCTTTGTGCTTGGGCAGGAAGGCAAAGCCAGGTGGGACTGGTCCAAGCAGCATCTCACTGTGGGGACAGGGTGACAAGTCAGGCCTGGGCCTCCCAGCATCACCCCGCAGAACAACCCAGGCCAGTGGGTACCTGATGCGGATCCAGTCTGCGGCCTGCTGGCTGGCCATGAGCGTCTCCAGGTGGTCTCGGCCTAGGTAGTAGGGTGGCCTTTCGTTGATCCTCTGTGGGAGTCGCTCAAGCAGGCCCACAGGCACATACCTGAGGTCGGGGAGGACAGAGGAGGCAGTCAGGCAGGGAGAGACCTGAGGCTACAGTCCCCAGCTCTCTCCTCGGCACCTGGCGCTGACCTGCAAAGAAAGGAGAGCCACTCGAGGAGGAAGCGCCGGGTCCGCTCCACGCCCTGCGTGTCAGAGCCCCAGTGTTCCAGGCCGTAGTGTGTGAAGTCCCTCAGGATGTCCAGGCGCTCAGAGGATGAGATGTCCCAGTGTCTCTGTTCCTTGATCTCCGTGAACAGCCAGGGCTTGAGCAAGGCCCCACTGTGGAGGGGACAGTCAGTCAGTGGGGACGGTGCCTCCTGCCAGACACCTGGGCACCAGGCCTTGCCCACCCAGGGGCCCGTCCCAGCCCAGATGCCACTCACCGGGCGATCATGACCCCTGCAACGCCCGTCTGCATGGCACAGTTGGCATCCTCAAACGAAAGGATGTCCCCGTTTCCTGAGGAGACAGCGGGTCTTGAGAGTGGCAGGCCCACGGTGTTGTTTTGGGATCTCCCAGGGACCCGGCATCCTCCCTGTCTTCCCAGCTGAGATGCAGCAGGGCGAGCGGCCCCGGTGGCTCTGGGCACCTACCGAACAGGGGCATGGGGCTGGCCAGCTTGGCGCACTGCTCGATGTAGGGCCAGTCGGCCAGCCTGGTGTAGCGCTGTTCCCGGGAGCGGCCATGGAGCTGAGGGGGGGGGGCAGTGGTGAGGAGGGGGTGGGGGGGCAGGGGGCACAGTAAGGAACAAAGAGACCGAAACCAAGGGACCAGGAAAGGCACAGAGACCCACCGTGACCAGGGCGACACCCCAGTCCCGCAGCTCAGGCAGCAGGCGGTGGGCCAGGCTCACACGCTCCTGCACGCCCGTACGCATCTTCACAGTCAGCGGCACGTCCAGCACCTGCGGTGCAAGGGCAGAGAGGGAGCAAGACCGGAGGCTACAGGGCGGAACCATGTGGGGACGAGGAGGGACATCCCTGACGAGCACAGGTTACCTCATTCACGCCCCTTACAATCTGCTGGAACTTGGCCGAGCGATTCATGAGTGCGCAGCCGCCACCCTATGGGACATGGACAACCGGGTGACCCCCTGAGAAATCACACTCTCCCCATGGGTACCCACATACAACCGAATTGCCTGCCACCCAGCTCAGGGTGCTCCCTGTGAGACGGGGACAGCAGGGCAGGGTCCCAGGCTTGGGCCACACCCTCTCAGGCTCCAGAGCTGAGTCACCTTCTTGTAGACAAGGTCAATGGGGCAGCCCACATTAATGTCCACAAAGTCCACGTCGATGGTGCGGTTCAGGAGCTCAGCGCATTTGGTCATGGTGTCAGGGAAGGCGCCCTCCAGCTGCGCCAGGCAGAGTGTGGTCAGCGACCAGCCCACCGGGGTCATCCCATGGACAAAAGGTCAGGGGGCAAGGCCACGGATCCTGGCATTGCTCCCCAACATGGCAGCCCCTTCCAACCTCCCTCAGGGCAAACACTGACTTGCACCCCAAACATGTCCTCGCAGGGGTGGCGCTTGAGCAAGGCCCACTCAGACATCTGTCCCTGCAGCAGGTTCGTGCACACGGCCATCTCACCACACGTCACATCGGCACCGAAGCGCTTGCAGATGCGGCGAAAGGGCAGGTTCCCGCACTGGCCAGGACAAGGACATGGTCAGGCCTCAGAGGTCGGCAAAGCAGGGACGCCCAGACATCAGCAATGCCCCAGGGAACTACTGAGCCGCCCACCCCCAGCCACCTCCTACCGTGGTGAGCGGAGCAAGGTAGAGTTTCCCACTGATGTCCAGCTGGAGGGAAAGGGGACACCAGGTGAAGTCAGGCGCCCTTCACCCCGTCTAGAGCATGTTCCCCCTCCCACACTTTACGGTGGCTCCTTCTACGGCGCCTCTGTACACACCGCGTCCGCTCCTCTGAGGAGAAAAGTTCATCAGTGCCCAGGCTTCTAGAAGGAGAGTTTCTAGTCAACAGTTAAAGCCCCAGGCTCAATGCCCTCCCTTTTAGGAACCTTCCATGTTGCCCCGTAGCCCCTAGCCCTGATCCTCCAGGCTCTTTCTGGTGAGGCAGGATTGCGGACAATGTTGGAGCCCAGATGCTATGCCTGCAAGGTAAAAGGGCCAGCCAAAGAAACCGACTTTGGCCCTGAAACCAGAGCCAAGTGAAAGAAATCCATCCTGGCCCTGAAACCAGTGGCAAAGAAACACATTTTGGCTCTAGAACCAGAGCCAGTGAAAGAAATATACCCTGTCCCTGAAATTAGAGCCAACAAGTTAAAAAGGACCAGTGAAAAACGCACTTTGACCAGGAAACCAGAACCAAATCTTTCCGAGCAGGAAAACGAACCGATTCCTGAGCATGAGTTCTAGCCAATCTGAGCTCACGGGACTGAAATCTGACCAATCCCCACCCTGGAAATCTTCTCCCTGGAAACACTCCGCCCTAAGAGGCCCTACGTAAACCCTGTGCTGTTCAGTTTGCTGCGGGTCTTCTCAACCTCAGCAATGGCAGTCACCTTCCTGGATTCCTCCCTCCCAATAAACCCCTTGAATAAGGTTTGGGCGACACCTTCCTTCACCAGGGCACAGACAGAGCCGGAGTGGAGTGGAGCAAGGCTGCATGGCTCTCTCCAGGGAAAGCTTCGCTAACAGAGAGGAGCTGCTGCCTACACTCCAGGGACAGAGCAGAGCAAAAAACTCCCCAGGGGAAGCCTCTCCCTGGAGCAGAGCTGTTAACCTGGGGAAGCCTCTCCTGCTGGGGCAGAGCTGCTAACCTGGGGAAGCCTCTCCCTGCTGGAGCAGAGCTGTTAACCTGGGGAAGCCTCTCCCTGGAGCAGAGCTGTTAGCCCCGGGGAAGCCTCTCCTGCTGGGGCAGAGCTGTTAACCTGGGGAAGCCTCTCCCTGGAGCAGAGCTGTTAACCTGGAGCAGAGCTGTTAACCTGGGGAAGCCTCTCCCTGGAGCAGAGCTGTTAACCTGGGGAAGCCTCTCCCTGGAGCAGAGCTGTTAGGCCCGGGGAAGCCTCTCCTGCTGGGGCAGAGCTGTTAACCTGGGGAAGCCTCTCCCTGGGGCAGGGCCGGAAGTTGCTGTGCTTACTGTGACTCCCAGAGCCAGGATCCCCGTCCCCCCAATCCTTACCCGCTTCTTCTCACAGGGCCGCAGCCGAATGATGTCCTCGTCCGTCAAGGGGCCACAGGTGGGAACAGGGCTGCCACTCGGGGTGCTGGCCCCTCCCGCAGTGTCCAGCTGGGCGTGGCAGCTGTTCTGCTCTGGGGTAACCGTGGCTACGGTGGTCTCAGGGACGACGGGCTTGGGGCCCTGGGTCAGGCGTCGCAGGGCCTGCTCAGCTCGCTCAAAGCACACTTGGCGCTTGCGCAGCTGCTGCTGCAGGGCTCTGCTCAGGCCGTTGCGCACGGGAGGGAGGTGCACGCAGCGAGCCACCACGTCGTCCTGCACCAGGTTCTGACCCTCAGGCCCCAGGTGTGCCCCCGCAAAGCGACAGGTCACGCTGTAAGGGCACCGGCCGAAGGTGTCAAAGAGCACGCAGCGGGGGCCCAGGTCTGCCGGTTTTGTCTCCAGGTAGCGTCCCACATCATGCAGGAATCGGCACCGGTCACCAAATGCACACGTGGCTGACTCCTGTGGGGAGCAGGGGACAGGGGCTGGGAGAGGGGGGAGTGGCCAGGGCAGCTTCGAGGGACTACTCTCCAGTCCCCGGGAGTACCAGACACCCCCGAGTGCCAGTGTCTCAGCTCTAAAACTGGGATGGCGTCAGGCTCACATGACGCCAAGAGCACCAGCTGTTCTAGCACACGACTGGGTGTGATTTCCAGCACCCGTGTGGCAGCTCACAACGCCTACAACTCCAGTTTCAGGGCGTCCAACACCCTCTCACAGATACGGAAGATTAGTCTCTTTAGGCACACCTCAAACAGATTTACCAGACTGGCATGGGCCACTGACGGGGAATGGTCGTCTGTATATAAGTTTCTTTTATTGGCTGATGAATAAAACACTGTTTGGCCAATAGCCAATAGGGACAGGAAGATAGGTGGAACTGTGAGGAGGAGAATTCTGGGAAAGGTAGGCAGAGGGAGACGGGGAAGAAACACCGTTGAGGGACCGGGAGGATAGGACGCACCAGGTGTTCTCTGGTAACCCAAAACCACATAGAAATACACGATTTACAGAGCTAGCCAATAAGAAGCCCTAGCCACCAGCCAACAGTTTATAATTCATTAAGTCTCTGTGTGTTTACTTGGGGCAACATGGCGGTGGGACCAGACTGGAAACAAGTTCCATCAACAGGCCACACACAGAGAAGCCATGCCTTAAAGGACACAAACGTGCCAGCGTGGCCTGCAGACAGGGGCAGTGGCAATGGGCAGGCTGAGGGCAGACGAGAAGCCAAGGGCCACGGACATGTCGCGGGCAGCGAGGCAGCTTCAGGCTGAGGAGACAGGCCCATGAAGGCCTCCCAGAGGAGCTCTCACCTGGAGGAGGGACGGGCAGAGCCTCTCCTTGTCGTAGTGCGTCGGCTTCACGTGAGGCCGGCTTTTGTTCTGGCCACGGGCCCTCCTTGGCATCTGTGGTTGCTCGGAGGGCTCAGCTGCCACCTCTGTCTTCCCATTCTCCTGCCCATCTTCCAGGCGGATCCTCTTGGCTTCGGGCTCGGCCGGGTCACTACCATCGGGATCTCCTGCGGGCGATTCCTGTCCTGCATCCTCCCGCTTGTCTGCTTCCAGGTATTGGTGGAACCGCTCCTTGGTGGTGCGGTACCTGTCAGAGAGGGAGAGGCTCCACTGGCATAGGGAAAGGAGAGCGGGAACTAATGTCCTGGCTCACAGCCTTCTACCCACAGGAAGATCGCTGCTTAGAAACAGCTCTCACCCGGCCGCACCCCAGGGACAGGGGGACACCTATTTTGCATTTGAAGGACCCATTCGTGTCCCCGCTCCGTTACAGGTTGTTATGCATAAATGCCAGCAATCAACGTTGGACTACAGAGAAACTACAAGTCCCTGCGTGCTTGATAGGTAGAGCCAAGCCGCCATGCTTCCCGGGAAGCCTTTCCGCCCGCTTACAAGCCTTAATGCAGAGCGAGTCATGAAAACTACAAGCCCTAGCATGCACCGCGGCTGTCGCGTCTGGACCCGCCCCCACGCTGCGCATGCGCACATCCGTGTCCCGCGCGTGTGACAGCCGACAACGTGTTCCTCTCCGCAGAGGCACTGGCGCTACCGGTCTGCCCCGCTTCGGGACGCCGCCACACCTCCCGGCATGCACCGCTCGCGTCGCGCCACGAACGCCGGGAAGGCCCCATCAGCCTCGCCATCCGGCGCCAGCGACTCACTGAGCTTTAATGGGCGCTACGCCCCGTTCGCCCGCGCCGACGCCGGGGTCGCCGCCGCCGCCGCTCTCGGCTGCCGCCTCCGCATCCTCCGCCATCGACGCCCCTCACGCCGGCTCTGTAGTGTGGCACGAAAGTCTTCCGGGTCGCGCGTGTCCGCCAGAGCCTGCCGAACGGAGTGCGCATGCTCAGACCGCACCGATGACGCCAAGGCGCGCGTGCGCACGGCGGGGGCGGGGCCTCGGGGCTGGACGGCCCGCGCAGGAACCGGAAGTGCCCGGCGTTCCGACCGGGTTGGCGTGCCGGTCACCCGTGGGCGGCGGTGGCGCCTGCGGCTCACACAGGCCGACCTCGAACACAGATACTCTTGGGGTTGAGGGCGTGCGCCCAGTGTCCTTCCCTCTCCCGCGCGCCACGCGTGTGTGCCGCTCGGAAGACAGTCTGGGGCCTCGGCTTTCCCGCGTGGCCTGCAAGCGCAGGCGCGTCTCCCCCGGTGCCCTGCTGTCCTCTGCCTCCCCCTGCAGGGCAAGATGGGGATAACACGACACTCATGTAAAGACGGGGCTCCCTTGTAGGGTCCACCTTGGCTCGCGGTGAGGACACGGTGGGGGAAACTGGGGCCGGCAGAGGGCGACCCTGTCCTCTTCTGCGCAGGGCGGCCTGGACAGCTGCGGGGCTTAGCCGCCGCGACGGTGCACGGCCAGAGTCCTGTCCTCACCTCCAAGCCCAAGCTCAAACCTCCCCGACCCTGCACATGTGCACCCTCCCCCCCCCGCAGTTCCCACACCCAGGGTCACTCCGGTGTCGCCGTTGGGGGATCCGGATAACCCCGGAGGGGTGGCAAACCATGCCCCGGCCTGATTTCACCTGACAGACACCAAGAACTGAGGGACACGGAGGGAAACTGAGGCTCCAAGCGGTCCCCGCTGCGGCATCCGTCCACCCTCCGCCCTGCCTGTCTCTTCTATCCCTCTTATTTAGCCTCAACAGTTTTATTTTCGTGGTTTTTGAGATAAGGTCTCAGGTAGCCCAGGCTAGCCTCCACCTCACTGTGGCTGAAAGTGACCTTGAACTCCTGATCCTCCTGCTGCCACCTCTGAACCGTGCTCGGCATTCTCTCTCTCTCTCTCTCTCTCTCTCTCTCTCTCTCTCTCTCTCTCTCTCTCTCTCTCTCTCTCTCGTTTTTGTCTTTTTGTGACAAAGTCTCACTTTCCGTCCCAGGCCAACCCCAAACTCACGGCAATCCCCCTGCCTCCGCTTTTGACTTGCTCCTTTTCTGTCTCTCCAGGTCCGTGCCTGCCTGCGTGTCCCACCCCCCGCCCTTCCCCCCAGGCCTGGCAGGTGCGGCCCCAGGCTGGGAGCCCGCGGCTGGCCTCCCGGATTTGTGTGGCTGCAATTCTTTTATCTGCGTCTGCAGCTGGGTCCTTATCTCAGGGCTGCAGGTCGGGAGCAGGGGGATTAGAGGAGCCAGGGCCAAATCAGTGGCGGAGGGCCCGCACCCCTGCGAGTGTGCGCGTGCGCAGCACGGCCCGCCGGCAGGCCCGCCTCCGGCTCCGCCCCCGCGCGCAAGCCCCGCCCGCCGCGCCGCCCTCTCCCAGCTCCCCGGGCCGGAGCCGCTGTCCAGGTGGCCGGCCTGATGCGTTTCCCACCTTGCTGACCCCGGACCTCGGGGGAACTCGGCCTTGGCCTCCGACCCCGGGCTGTCTATGGCCCCCAGGGGAACAGCCGGGTCCTGTTTTTACCATCTCCGCCTGGATCTGCAGTCCGCTCTTTCCGGCCGCCCACGGGCCGCCAGGGTCCCTCCGTGGCCGGTGACCCCCCACCCCCACCAGAGAGTCAGGTGATGCCGGGGACCCCGCTGCGGCTCCCACACTAGAAGCGACAGTCACCCCAAGTCCCAGAATCCAGCCCTGCAAACCGTGGAGAGTCCAGACCAGCCTGGGCTACAGAGCAAAGCCTTGTTAGAAGTCAGCCCGGGACTGGGCTCAGCAGGTAGAGCCCTCGCTGACCCGGCTGAAGCCCTGGTTCTATCCGGAGCACCTCAAAGACCACCAGGGAACACGCTCGATGGGTCAGGAGTTAAGGTCCAGGCTAGCCTGGGCTACAGTATGGTTCCTTTCAAAAGACGAAACCCCGTCCTGGAAGGGAAGCCCGAGGACACTCCTGTCAAATAGAGGGTATCCAAGGCTCAGCCTGGAACACAGCTAGGAACTATTTCACGGATGGGGAAACTGAGGCTGGGCAATCTCTGTCACCTTGGCACCACACACACAGCAAGACGGTGCCTTTGAGGTTAATGGTTACGTGGAGATGGCCTGGAGGGGTAGAGGCACACTGAGTTCCTGCGGGGCTAGTCCCTGGGGGTCCCCTCCCCCCGGGGTCCAGTCCCCGATCGCCTGGCCCTGGACCAACTCCTAATGCTAAGATGGAAACTTCCCCACCAGCCAAGTTCACGTTTTGGCCAGAGGCCTCCGGCCTCCCAAGCCTTGGCGTGGGTCTCCACCCAAGAACAGAGCGCTTCCCCTTGGGAATGGTGGCCAGCAGGAGAGGTCAGGCTGGCTCCAGAGCAGGAGATGGGACACTCTGCACAGTCCCCAAGCGACAGCGTCTTTGCCGTGTGACCGGAACCTGCTGCATGACCTCTCTGAGCCCCAGGTTTCACAACCACAGTCTGTCACCAAGGCCATGTGGCAGGGCAGGGAAGGCAGATTCAGGAAAGAAGTCCAGGCAAACTCTCGGTGGGGTGGGGGCCAGAGCTCAGGTTCCTGTCCCCTCCACCAGGGCCAGGCACCCTTGCTGAGGTGCATCAATGGGCCTGCATCGTCTGTGAGTCTGAGCCTCAGATTCCCCAGTTAGGCTCTGGTAGGGAAACTGGGGCAGGAGGACTTAACATAAATACTATAAACACCCCAGCCCAGCCCTGAGCTCGGGCTCCCAGACTGGAAGGCCGCGAGCGTCCCCGAAGGAGGTAACACCAACAGTCTCCATGGAGCGTCTGCCTCACCCAACACAATCCCAGTGGGGTCAGCCTCATCTTAGCTGGGGGTGGAGAATTCTGCAAGGAGAGGGTGTGTGTGTGTGCACGTGTGTGTGCATGTGTGTGTGCGCACGCGTGCATGTGTGTGGTGTGTGTATGTGTGTGTGCATGTGTGTCCCAGTTCCCAGCTGAGGTGTGACTCACAGAGTATGACAGGGCATCTGTTTGTCAACCTCTGTCTGGGGGGTGACAGCATGTGGGTTACCCGGGAGGCTGTCGGGATAGATGGCACCTGTGTTTCTGGTGTGACCACGTCCAGCCCTGAGTTAGGCAGACACTTTGCGTCTCCGAGGCTGATGAGATCCCTGTGGGTGTTTGTAATAAACCACGTGTCCCAGAAATGGGGTCAGAGGTGGGTGCAGATCCTGTGTCCCCACCTTCTGCTCTCGGCCCGCCTGCCGGTGTCAGCTCCACCCCTGCGCCCCTACCCCAGAGGAAGAGCCTGGCCTTTCAAGTTGCTGTTGCCAGGGCAACCATTTTATGAGCGTCCACATGGTGGGCACATGTGTGTGCGTCCTGCTCCCCATGTGTCTGTCTGCCCCACCCCCAGTCGCGGCTGGGCCGGGTGAGCAGAGGTGGCTGGTGACAGCTTCATGGTGGCTGGCCCAGCGGGAATGGGCTCTAGTCGGCTGTGTGTGCAAGGGGCCCGGCCTCGCACCCCAGCCCCCATGTGTGTCTCGAGTGTGCCTCAGCAGCCGAGGGTTTTTCTCGAGCATGGTGCATGCTGTGTTAGTGTGTCAGGGTGATGGATATGACAGAGGACATGGACAGGGAGCAACTGTGTTGTTTACGTGGATCGGCTGGTGTGAGTCTGTGTCAACCAGCGCCAGACTGTAGCAGAACTGAGTGTGTGTGGATGAGCCTCAGGGGAGCTCCTCTGTGTGTGGGCCAAGAAGAGACGTGTGTGTGTGTGTCTGTGTGTGTGCGCGTGCGTGCGTGCGTGTGTGTGGGTGTGTGTATGTCTGTGTGTGTGCGTGCGTGCGTGTGTGTGTATGTCTGTGTGTGTGCGTGCGTGCGTGTGTGTGTATGTCTGTGTGTGTGTGCGCGTGCGTGCGTGCGTGTGTGTGTCTGTGTGTGTATGTCTATGTGTGTGCGTGTGTGTGTGTGTGCGTGCGCGCGCGTGCGCAGTCCCGGGAAGGAGTGTGTGTGAAGTCAGTGTGCCTCTGGTGTGTACGGCACCTACGGCTGAGAGTCATGCTGCGTGTGCAGCTCGCATGCTGCTGACTGGGCGTCCAGCTCTGAGTGACAACAGGGATGGGGAGATGCCTAGGCTGGAAGTGCCCCAGCCTGAATGTCCCATCTCCCCCGTGCCACACCCTCACCTTATCTCCCATGCCACACCTTCATGCCATCTCCCCGTGCCACACCCTCAGCCCATCTCCCCGTGCCACACCCTCACCTCTCTCCCCCCTGCCAGTCCCCTGCCCATCTCCCCCATGCCAGGCTCTTGCCCATGTCCCCATTCCAAGCCCTGTCCCCATCTGCCCCTCCTGGCTACATCCTCACCCCACCTCCCTCGTGCCGCGTCCTGACCCTGTGTCCCCCATGCCAGGCTTCACCACACCTCCCCCTTACCAGGCCTTGCCCATCTCCCCCTCCTGTGCCATGCCCTCGCCCCTGGGCAAATAAATCTCTTGGAAACCGGAGGTACAGGGAGAAGTCGCTGCCTCAGGTCTCAGAGTGTACAGCGCACAAGTGACTTTCAGAAACCTGCTGGTCTGACCCACGAAGTCAAACAAACCCACATCAACACCTGCACCCAATGTGCACATGCGCACACACTCCACCAGCGCGGGGTGGGGGTGTGCCCAGGGCAGGCCCTTGGGAAGGGGCAGGACTGGTTTGGGGGTCAGTCCTGAAAAGGCCTCTGGGATGAGTGAACGTTAAATGAGCCCCCACCCGAGACACCCGTGGCAGCCAAGAGTGCTGGAGAGGAGCGGGCGGGCACCGGGTGTCCAGGGCGGGGCCTCAGGGCAGTGGTTTCTCAGCAACTGGACGTGAGGGGGCGTGGCCACATCCTTCCTCGCCCCTGAGTGCTCGCCGCTAGGAGGCGCTTGCGAGTCGCAGGCGGTGGAGCAGGGCGTGGTGGGTTTGGGTGATGGGGTCCCGAATGGGGTGCTTTAGGGGAAGCCGTTAGTGAGAAATGGGGTCCCCCACGGGGCTCTAAGGGACAGGGTGACAGGAAGCGACGATGGGTGTGGTTCACCGCGGACCACGGGATCTTCTACAGACCTATATAATCCAGACCTATATAATCTCTGAGCAGAGACCTGGAAAGGCTTCTTGGGGCGGACAGAGGGTTGGAGAGGGCCTGTGGGGGATCGTGGGTGGGTGCAGAGTGGCTTTTTGGCTGGCCAGGAGGGTCACGGGGTGTCTTGAGACTCTAGGTTTCAACTTAGATGACCACAGAGCACTGGGGACATCAATCTGGGGGAATCTGATGCTCTAGGGGTTCCCCTCCGTGCGTAGTCTAAGGGGGTCCAGGTGGGAAGTTGGGGACATGAGGAATAGGTGCGCAAACTTAGTGCGGACTGGATTCCGGGCGCAGAGTCTCGGATGAAGGAGAGTCCCGGGAGAGTCCACCGATCCTTCCGTGTGGTCGTCCAGGGCCTCCCGCGTTCCTGCCACCTGCTCTCCCGGCGCGCCCCTCAGGCTGTGGGCGGGACGAGGGCGGCTCCCGAGCCCGGGAAACCCTGTGCCACGCCCACGTCCACGCCTCCGGGAAAGCCACGCCCCCTCCAGCCCAGCCGGCCGGAGCCGTACGCGGCGGGAGCAGAGGGAGAGCGCGCGGTGGCTCTGTCCGTGCGCCCCGCGCTCCCCGCGTGGCCCCGCGTCCCGAGCGCGCTTCAGCCTCCCACGCGCGCCGCCCCGGGGTGCACTGAGCCCGGCGAGCCCCGGGAATCCAGAGCGAGAGAGGACAGGGGGGGAAACCCCATGGCCCGGCCCGCGTCCCGCACCCTGTGCGGTGGCCTCCTCCGGCACGGGGTCCCCGGGTCGCCTCGGGTCCCCGCGATCCGGATGGCGCACGCGGTGGCTGGGGCCGGGCCGGGCTCGGGTGGCCGGAGGAGTCACCACTGACCGGGTCATCTGGAGCCCCCGGCAGGTAAGCTGAGTCCCGCAGTGCAGTACGGGGGCAGTCCCCAAGGCCCCCCTCCCGTGTCACCGCAGGGTTCCGTACCCGACGGGGCGCGCTCCCGGCTCCTGAGCCAATCTGCTGGACCCCCGGACCCCCGTGAGCGCTCCGTCAGGCAGGGGGGATGGAGGAGGGACACCGAGGTCGCAGTGAACCTCAGAAGGGGGTTCGGCCGCGTGTAGCCCCGCGGCGCACAGAAGTAAACACCTCAGGGGCGCGTTCCCTGCGCGCCCGGGGACACCGTGTCCTCCCCGGGAAGGGCCGGGCCGCTGGGCTCCTGAGTCGCTGTTCAGCCACAAGAGGGCGTGGGGCTCTTTGGAGGAGGGGGTGTCCCTTAAGGGCAAAGCTCAGATTGGAAACGGGGTGTGTGTTCCCCACTCTCCGAGTTCTTGCTCCAGAATATCCCCCAGATAATTCGGTTTATGGGTGAGAAGTCACCAGGCCCAGGGTTGCTGCAGAGTGGGCAGACTTCAGGTGGGACTGGAGGCAGAGATCGTGAAGCCCAGGCTGGATGCTGAGATGCGAATTTGGGGGACTTGGGGGGTTGCCACCTGCCTGGCCCACTGGGGCTGGGGGGCTGTGCTTGAGTACTGGACCCCTGGGTTTCCGTCCCGCCGCCTCCACTGGGCCTCACATCCCTGCTGTTCTGGGACACCCTTTGTGTGTCAGTGCCCCGGGCTGAGGAAGCCCCATGGGGCGTGACAGGCAGGATGTCAGTGGCGGGTGGGCGGATTCCAGCCTGACCAGCTCCTCTCACCCCAGCCCCTCGCCCCAGGCTGGACACCCCTCCCGCTCTTTCATCCGGGGACTTCTGAGGGTCCCGGGCCCCTAACCCGCTCCAAACCCCTAGGCAACCACAAAGGGCTGGCTGTGGCAGCAGAGTGAAAAACTAACAAATCGGGCACCCCCAGCTGGTCACCCCACAACCAGACACCCCCAGCCAGACACCCCCAGCTGGTCAACTCCAGCCAGACACCCCCAGCTGGTCACCCCCAGCCAGACACCCCCAGCCAGACACCCCCCAGCCAGACACCCCCAGCCAGACACCCCCCAGCCAGACACCCCCAGCTGGTCACCCCCAGCCAGACACCCCCAGCTGGTCACCCCACAACCAGACACCCCCAGCTGGTCACCCCCAGCCAGACACCCCCAGCTGGTCACCCCACAGCCAGACACCCCCAGCTGGTCACCCCACAACCAGACACCCCCAGCCAGACACCCCCCAGCCAGACACCCCCAGCCGGTCACCCCACAGCCAGACACCCCAGCTGGTCACCCCCAGCCAGACACCCCACAGCCAGACACCCCCAGCCAGACACCCCACAGCCAGACACCCCAGCTGGTCACCCCCAGCCGGTCACCCCCAGCCAGACACCCCACAGCCAGACACCCCCAGCCGGTCACCCCCAGCCAGACACCCCACAGCCAGACACCCCCAGCCGGTCACCCCCAGCCAGACACCCCACAGCCAGACACCCCAGCTGGTCACCCCACAGCCAGACACCCCAGCTGGTCACCCCACAGCCAGACACCCCAGCTGGTCACCCCACAGCCAGACACCCCAGCTTGTCACCCCACAGCCAGACACCCCAGCTGGTCACCCCACAGCCAGACACCCCAGCTGGTCACCCCACAGCCAGACACCCCCAGCTGGTCACCCCCCCAGGGACGGGCACCTATCAGTCACCCCCCAGCCAGGTACCCCTCAGACGGGCACACCCCAGCTGGTCAACGCTCCTCAGACGGGTACCCCCAAACCAGGCACCCCCCAGTCAGACAACCCCTCCACCGGGCATGCCCCCCCAGCTCAGCACACACCGTCAGCAGGGCATCCAGTCCTGAAACGCCACAATCCTGTTCTCAAAATTAAATAAAAAACAAACAAACTCAGCCAGGCACCAAAACACAAACGCCAGAGATGCTCGGACGAATGTGTAGCCGTGGGCGCTGTCCCTAGAAGCAGCCCCTGGCGCGGGGGCCTGAGACAGAGACCCTGGCAGCAAGGTGGGAGGCTCTCTGGAGGAGGGGCACTACGTTGGGGCTGGAGGGTGAGTTCTGTGAGTGGGGAAAGCTTGGCTTGTGACCTGGTGACGAGTGGGGAGAGAAGGTTCTGGAAGGTTGGCAGGGAAATCATGGGGAGCAGGTGTGGCATGTAGGGCCTGTCATCACAGCTATTCAGGAGATCAGGGGTTCAAGGTCAGCCTCGGCTACCCAGGGCCCAGCCTGGGCTACACTGACTCAAAACCAGAAGAGGCACAAGGAAAATACTGGGAGAAAGTCAACGGGGGCAGAGCTGTCCCTGGGGACCTCGCAGCTCGTGACCCCCGGTGCCCAGCACCCGCCTCGTGCAAACACACGGAACTTAAGGTAATGAGGATGATTCGAGAGGAAAAAGGCGCTGCAGGCGCCTGGGCTCCGCCTGGGGAAACTGCGGCTCAGAGGACCGACACCTTCACCTGAGACCAGACTTCGGATTTGGGACGGAGGGCGAGGGCAGGCAGTCCCAGGGCCTGCCTCAGTTTCTCTTCCAAGCCAGATGGTCAGGCGTGGGACCGGCTGTCTCCCGGCCGCCCTTGCACCCGGCGCCGGCGGCTCAACCCGCATTAGCTTGATCCGGTTATCCGCGGTCATGCGCACCGCCAGCCCGGGGCGGGCACAGTCCACGTCTCTGCTCCTGCCTGCGCCTGGGGGGCAGGGGTCTCCGCAGCGGAGGTCGCAGGGTCCCCGAGCCCCCTGCCCCGCTTAAGCCTATCTGCGGTGCAACGCGGAGCCGCCAGTGCCCTCCCTGCGTTTCAGAGAGTCTAAGCGGGACGGAATGGCTAAGCTGACACTTGCCACAGCCTGGCCACTGACTGCACAGTCGCCCCCTGACCTACCCCGCGGCCAGGCACGCGGCGGCGTGTGCTCCCGCAGACCCTAGTAAGATGAAATCTGGACGTGTGGTGGGACGCTGGAATTTGGGCTTCGAGGTACGAGCAGGAGTTTGAACAAACCAGGCCCTAGAGGTGCAGCGGCCCTGGAGTCCTGCCCTTCCCCGCTGTCGTGGTGGGGGTGGCGGCCGCGAAGGAGCGGCTGTGCCCCCAACCCACCGAGCCCCAAAGGCCACCCTGGGCCGCGGCCCCCACAGCTCATCGGAACCAGCTGTGCTCCGCAGATGTTGTGGCTTTGCCCCCAGATGTGCGTCCCGCCGGCGGGCGGGCGGGGCCCTCGGAGGGAGGTGAGGACCGGAGCTCCGGGAGGCCTCAGTTTCCCCACAGACGGGGGAAAAGCTGGCTGCCTAAAGCATACGCAGCGAAGCCCCCTCTCCGCGGCCACGCCTGCACAGTTGGAGGCCAGCCTGGGCTACGCTTGACCTGCCGGGGTCACGGCGGAGGGAGGAGGCTGAGCGCCACGGCGCCCCGCGTCATGCGCGCCCCTCCCCCATGCGCGAGCAGGTCGGCCGGACACCACTGCAGATGGGGAGACTGAGGCCCCAGGAAGCACGCGGTGGCCGCGGGGCCCCACCCCGGAGCCTCTGCGTGCCCATGGCCGCCCCAGCACCCCTTTCCGCGCCAGACGAACCAGTCGGGCGACCCCGGACAGAGGGGCCATTGTTCACCGGCTCGGAGCCCCGCCGGGGGTCCCCAGCGGCTCTGCCCGCGGGTGGGGGACCCGGGCTTGGTTTCCAGCTCCTGCAGGCAGCACGCGGTCCTGGAGACCCCGGGCTATCCTTGGCTAGTGGGCGGGCCCGAGCCTTTGCTCCGCAGTACCGGGTGTGTGTGCGTGCGTGTATGTGGTTTGCCGCGAGGATGCAGCCGTGCTCGCTCGCGGGGAGCGGGGCCCGAGGTGGGCAGGAGGATCCGAGTGGAGGGTCAGGGAGCCTCCACCTGTTCTGCGCCTCAGTTTCCCCCGCTTGACACTGACACAGAAGTCTCCCGTGTGTGGGGCGTCGGGCCTGGTACGCACTTGGGGCTCAGTAAACACTGGCTTGGGGTGTGCGGCCTTGCTGGAGTGGGGCCGTGCAAATCGATGCAAACATTCCCAGGCCGAAGCCGGGGCCGCTGGGTAAACTGGGGGGTGTCTACCCGCAAGAAGTGCGGGTATCCTGATGGAGGGGAAGCGGAGGCAGGCAGGCAGCGAGTGGCCAAGGGGAGAGAAGATGCCGAGGCACCCCCCGCTGTCACCACCCTTTCCCAGCCTCGGGGCCTTTGCACCCGCTGTTGCCCCCCGAGAGACACCCACCACCCTGTGTCCCCGCAGGCCGAGGCCCAGGATGAGGCGCTGGAAGGCAGCGGCCCTGGTGTCGCTCCTCTGCAGCTCCTTGCTGTCTGTCTGGATGTGCCAGGAGGGTCTGCTGCTGGGCCGCCGCCTGGGACCCGCGCTCGCCCCTCTGCGACGCCCTACACGCACCCTGGATGCTCGCATCGCCCGCCTGGCCCAGTGTAAGCCCCGCCCAAGGGACCAGGGGGCGGGACGCCGGAAGGGGCGGGGCGCGAGGTGGAGGGGCCGCGCTGACCGCCTGAGCTTTAGATTTATTGACGCGGGGTGTCATGTTGCCCGGGGTGGCCGAGGGTGCCCCAGAAGCGACCCTCCTGCCTCTGCCTCCTGAGCCCCCCTCCTTTCTGCGCACCCTTCAGATGGGGTGGGGCGGGGCCCTGGCCGGCCAATCGTCTGTGCCCCTCCTTCCGCCGCTGGCCACGCCCCCGCCGCAGCCAGGAGTGCGCACGCGCCGGGCGGGGTGTGGGTGGAGCCAGCTCCCACGACCCAATCCTCTGTCTCCCTCTTCCCGCCACAGACCGAGCTCTGCTGCAGGGCGCCCCGGATGCCGTGGAGCTTCGAGAGCTTTCCCCCTGGGCCGCGCGCCCGTCGGGCCCGCGCCGTCGAGCGGGGCCCCGGCGTCGGCGGGCGCGGGCGCGGTCGGGCGCGCGGCCGTGCGGGCTGAGAGAGCTCGAGGTGAGCGTGAGCGAGTTGGGCCTGGGCTACACGTCGGACGAGACGGTGCTGTTCCGCTACTGCGCGGGCGCGTGCGAGGCGGCCGTGCGCATCTACGACCTGGGCCTGCGGCGCCTGCGCCAGCGGAGGCGCGTGCGCAAAGAGCGGGTCCGCGCGCACCCGTGCTGCCGCCCCACGGCCTACGAGGACGAGGTCTCCTTCCTGGACGTGCACAGCCGCTACCACACGCTGCAGGAGCTGTCGGCGCGGGAGTGCGCCTGTGTGTGACGCCCCCGTGCGCGGACCCTCTCGAGGACTGAATCCGCATAAAGTGTGGGAACTGTCGTGGTCGCTGCCCATTCGCTCTGCGCGGAGTGGGGTGTGCGGCGCCCTGGGAGGGGACGGAGGAGGGAAGCCCCGTTGTAGGGGGCGGCCTCGCTCGAGGAGCCCGCTGGGGATGGCGCCCAAGCGCGAGGACCAGGGCCGGGCGGCTCAGCGGGTGGGCACCGGGTTCGGTTCCCGCTCCAGGACCCTGGGCACCACCCCCGTCGTGGGGGGAGCGACTCATGCGCGCTGCACAGACACACGCAGGCAAGGGAGAGCGGCCGGGGTGGGCAGGAAATAAAGAGAGAAGAGAAGGAAGATGCCTGTGGTCAACCACACTAGTCTCCCCAGCCCTGAGAAGCTGAGGTGGGAGGAGGCCAGCCTGGGTCGTCTCTAGGGAGAACCAGAGCCGTATCTCCTTCTGTGAGCTAAAAATAGCTTGCTGCCCACCTCCCGCTAGGGACAGGTCCGGGGCGGCTGCCAGCCGCATCCAGTCCAAGCCTCGGCCTGGCCCAGCTGGATCCCCGAGGACCCTTGGACCTTGGGCTGTGAGTGGAAGGATTGGGGGGTTGGTGCCGCAGGCCGGGGTGCGGGTGCCATAGCCTTGGTTTCACCTTGATCCCTGGCAGGCCTGGAGGTGCCGGGCAGTTCGGGACTGTCTGTGGGTCCCGCGATGGGGAATAGATGGGGAGGGTATTATTGTATGTCAAGAAAGACTTCTCCTGGAGACCACAACACAGGTCCACTCACCCCAAGTAGGGAGTCCACAGCGGATGCCACCAAAGTCCTGCTCGGTGAACCATGAGCTTTACTGGGGTCACTGACAGGCACGTGGGTGAGGGGAGACAGCTGTGTCACCAAGGCCCACCCCAGCACGGGTGACACCACAGAGTTGGGAATCTGGAGGCACTGCACAGCCTGCAGGCCACACAACAGGCTGGAGAGCTCCCTTCCAGGCGCCTCAGTTGACCCGAGCCTCTTCCAGGCAGCTCAGTTTCCTCAGATTTTATTGCTCACTCTGGTGGGGAGGAGCCTAATGAAACCTGTTTGTTTCAGGAACTTCCTGTAGCTGTTTTGTTCACCTTGCTGTTTAAGGAGCCTCCCTGCAGGATGAAATGCTTCAGTTTCAGAGGAAACAGTTACACAACACCCTATTCCTCCGCCCTCTGTCCTTACATCCTTTGCACCCCATCTTCTGCAGTGGTCCCTGAGCCGTGGAATGGGTGACATAATCGTCTACCCATACCCTTGAATCAGGCCACCACAGCACAGTAATAGCCACCTGTTCAGGAACATCACCAGTGGTTACGATTTGAGTCTGATACCAACTGTGGTCTGTGAGCATGATGTCCAGACACTCTGTATTCTGGCCGGCAAGGGGGCCTAGTGAATGCAATCAGTTTCAGGGACTTCCTGCAGCTGTTTTCTTTGTTTTTTGTTTCGTTTTTCGAGACAGGGTTTCTCTGTATTGTTTTGGAGCCTGTCCTGAAACTCGCTTGGGAGACCAGGCTGGTCTTGAACTCACAGAGATCCGCCTGCCTCTGCCTCCTGAGTGCTGGGATTAAAGGCTTGCGCCAACTCTGGCTCCTGCAGCTGCTTTGTTTACCTCCTGTTTGAGGAGCTTTCTGCAGGATCAGAGGAATCGGATACTGAGGACGTTCTGACAGGCAATCACATCTGTGTAGAAACGACACACACGTTGCTTTTCTGTTGGGGTTTAGAACCTTTCCAGCCATAGGTGTTGTCCTGGCGTACAGTAACGGACATGAACTTGCTCTTGGGAGCAGCCCTAGTCTGAAGGCCGTTGGTGTCAGCCATGACAGCCCAGCCACCATCACACATCGGGCACACCCTGCCTGGCATGTCTCAGCATGCACAGTCCATTGCTGAGCAGCAGTGTTAGTGACAGTTCTGCACTAGGAGCCTGAGTGGCCCCTCCAGCTGTGAAAGCCAGCCGGCAGGGTGGGGACTTCCTGGTCAGTCCCAGCTTAATTTCTCCGTGTCTTGTGCCTGTGGTGTCTTCAGCAGCAGGGTCTCATTGTCTAGTCCTGGCATAGAAGCAACAGCAGCAGCCACAGCCTCTATGCTTGTGTGGCCTCTGCCCTTCCTGGGCCAACAGCTCACAGAGAGGGAGCCCTCAGCACTGGGGTCTATAGGTGGATTTTTTTTGTCCCTCCTGTTAGCTCCCAAATAACCAAATGGAGACTTCTTGTTAATTATAAAAAGCTCTGTTGATAGCGTAGGCTTGTTACTAATGAGCTCTTACAACTTAAATTAACCCTTTTTAAAAATCAGTCTATGTTATATCTTGTCTCTGTTACCTTCACTATGTACGGCCCATGCTGTCTCCTCTCCCTCTGGCTGGCAACTCCCCATGTCTCTGCCCTGAAAAAACCCTGCCTAGCTATTGGCTACTCAGCTTTTTGTTAAACCAATCTGAGTGACAAATCTCCACAGTCTACAAAAAGATTATTCCACGCCAGGTCAGTGGTGCAGCACGCCTTGAATCCCAGCACTCAGGAGTCAGAGGTGGGCAGATCTCTGTGAGTTTGAGACCAGCCTGGTCTACAGAGCTAGTTCCAGGACAGCCTCCAAAGCCACAGAGAAACCCTGTCTCAAAAGACCAAAAAAAAAAAAAAAAACACCAGATTTTTCCACAGCAGGGCTCTCCACTCAGTAACTTTCTGCCTTTGGGGAGTGTCCCCTCCCACCCACATAGGGCTCCTTCTGGATTTAAATTATTAGCTATTCTCTTAAAGACCATTTTTGCCTCCAATTAGTGAGTCCTGGCAAAGTTGTGAGGCAGGTGGAAATGCCATTGCACCTGGATGCCTCTCTGATGCTTTTTGAATTCCATGAGACACTCATGTTGTCATTTTGTCATCTATATAACAATCATGCCCAGTGGATGGGCGGGACACCGCAGTATCCCATAATAACCAGTGGGGTCTCTGACATAACTTCGGTGAGGCCTTCAGCGTCCCATCGTCTGTGTCAGCTGTGTCGGGTGATCCCAGAAGCTCCCGGCTCAGGAGATTGTAAAGCGGAACAAAGCGAGGCCTGACGGCACAGGAAAGGGTCCACCCAATTTATCAGTCGCTTCCTGCACAGGTCACAGTTGGGCGTGGGCTAGAACCCTCCATCGTCCTTGAACCTGTGTCCTGGAGCCTCCTTCCTACATATCTCCTTGTCTGATGAACTCAGGAGGGCAGACTGAATCCACTCAGACCTACCAAGGGCCAAGGGGGACCAAGATCCTGCAGGCTCCCAAGGCATCTGCTGGCTCCCTGGGTCACGCTGGCCCCAGGTTGGCACAGTGGACATGTCTTAGTCGTCTTAACCCATGCTGTTCTATCAGGGTAGCTTCTTCGAGCCTTCCAGAGGCTCCTCGGGACACAGTGTGGCTGTCCATCAGTTCATCCTTAGGAACTCCAGCGGACACAGGACAGATCTCTCTCAGCTCTGCCATTTTCCCATGTCCTCTAGGTTGTTCTCTCACTACATGGATGCTCTTTACATGCTGGTCTAAGACACTGAGATCTTTCAAACCCTTTCCTACTTTGTAGAGATCGTGTCGCCCCCAAGCAGCTGAGGTCCCTAAGGGCATCAGCTTTTCTTTAACTCCTCTGTGACACAGTTCCTGTGCAGCTTCTCCTCCTCACCCTGTGTCTCTCCACAGCTTCCAAGGTCTTGGATCTTAGGAAGGGCTTTCAAGCACAGGTCTAACTTGTGACCTTTCCCTTCCGGCTGCGGAGCCCTAAGAAGACACATGCCATGGCCCCATCTCATTCCCTCGTTTCTCTGATTCACTTGCAGATCTGAGGCTAACGTGGAGGATGCTGCTGCGTCTCCCTTGTTGTTGCAATTGCCCCTTTACACGAACAGCTTCCTGCTTGGCACCATCTCGGCCCCAGATGCATCTCTAAGCACTCAGAACTGCAACCTGGCAGTGTCTGCTGCCGCTGTCAAGCCTGACCCCCACGCTAATCTTAGAGACTACAAAATTTGCTCTAACCTTTAGGTGTCTTCAGGGCATGTCTGTATTCCTGTGGAGGACCACACTCATGATGCAGGCATGCCACCTCACACCACACAGAGGGACTGTCGTGACGGGGTCCCCTCTGACACTCTAGATCCTGATGGTTCAGGGTCATTCCACACCTCGCTACCTGCAATAAGAAACACGCAGCTGCCACCACAGCACAAGGCGCCCAGGAAAGAAGAGCCTGCCGGCGTCTCCCCCACAAGGTCTGCCTCCCAAGCTGGTTGGCCTCAGTAGCATGCCCTGCCACCCACAGCCTGGACCATGCACCCGCCTGTCCCCAGGTGACCTTCGGTTTGGGCATGGTCCTCTTCGGGTGCCGATGGTGTGTGACATGGAAGACCTTCCTGGGGACATGTAACACACCCGGCTACTTACCTGAGTAGGGACCCCACAGCACACCACCAAAGTCCTGCGTGGTGAACCATAAGCTTTACTGGAGTCACTGACAGGCACATGGGTGAGGGGAGACAGCTGTGTCACCAAGGCCCACCCCAGCACAGGTGACAGCTCACAGAGTTGGGAACCTGGAGGGCACAGCACAGCCTGGAGTGCTGTGCTGGAGCAACAGGCTGGAGAGCTCCCTTCCAGGCACCTTAACGGACCGAAGCCTCTTCCAGGCAGCTCAATTTCTGGACAGGACCCTCAGCTTTTATTGCTCACTCTGGCTGGGGGAGCCCAGTGAAACGGTTGGTTTCAGGGACTTCCTAAAGCTGTTTTGTTCACCTTCCAGCTTAAGGAGACTATGCAGGATATACTGTCTCTCTGGAGAGCATTGCTGCCCAGCAAAGGGCAAGGACGTTTGACCGCAGCTTGCCATGAGCCTGACATCTGCAGACACCTGGCTTCGCGGCTCACAGGTGTCTTCCCCTGCCCAGCTTTCTCAGTGACCAGGGGGCTGAAGACAGATGTACCTCTGCCCCAGAGTGGGGGCTCCCAAGGGCATTCCCCTCTTCACCCACAACAACTCAGGAAGACCTCCCTGGTGCCCCGTAGGACATACTGCTGCCCCAGCCTCTGGGTGTTCCCTGTGGGTGAGGGATTGGGGCCACATCCCTGCCCCGAGCTCTGTCCAGACCCCCAGTTCCTTGAGACACGAGGAGGAAGGAAATGGATTTCCACTCCCCAGTGGTGACCGAGAGGCCAGAACCCCCACATGCTGTGGAAACCCCTTAGTGAATGCTCCTGGCCTCAGTTTCCCCAATGTGGTCAGATCACAGAACCTCAGAGTTGGCCTGGGAATCCAAAACTGTCCTCTCTGAGGCTCCCTAGCCCAGGCAGGTGTGTGTCCCCAGGCCCACCCAGGCCTGCGGGGACATTGGCCTCCTGTCTTCTGCCTACTTCCAACATGCCAGCCGCAGAGAGGGGTGGAGCCTACCAGGAGATGGAAACGTAAACAGAGCGTCTCCCACAGCCTCAGCTCTGCACCCAGGCTGGGGAGACGCACGGGGCCACCCACGAGGCTGAGGCTCCCGGTCACCCCCACTCAACGCTTTGTTGTCGTTGCCAATGGTCTCCAGGAACCCAGGATCGCCTCCAACTCCATGTAGAGGAGGGACACTTGAAGTCCTCATTGTCCTGCCTCTACCTCCCAGGTAGTGATGACGCCGTCGCTCCCAGCGGAGCACCCAGCGCTCCACAGTCCTGTGTGCTTCCTCCCTGAAGGTGGACACTGGCCTGACCTCTGACCCTCCTCTACTTTCCTGCCCCAAAACCTTGGCCTAGTGTGCCTGGCAGCCTGTCCCCTCGCTCATGCCATCTCTGCCTGGCCTGTCCATCTGCCTGGAATTCACCCCATGGCAAAGCCAGCAGCTGACTGACCACTCTTGCATATACACAGAGAGCATAGGCAGTCATCTGCGGCTGCTCTCCAACATGTGTTTTGGAGCAGAGTCTCTCACTGACCATGCAGCTGCCAACTCAGCCAGACTGACTGGACAGTGAGCCCTGGGGACGCTCTTGTCTCCAGCTCCCAGCACAGGGGTTTCAGCTATGTACGGCTACGCATGGCATTTCATATGGATGCTGTGGATCTGCACTCAGACCCCTTTGTGTGTAACGGTGTTCACAATGTCCTGGGACAAGTCCCAGTCCCCTCTCCTCCAGAGTGACACCCACAGACGTCTCCAGGCATGTCTGAGCATCCTCAGGCACACGGCGCAGTCACCCTGAATGAGATTCATAGAGTAAGGTCTCAGGTCAGCTTTTGCAATGCCCCCATCTGGACATCTGTGATGCTAACCCTCCCCGACCTCCACAGGGATAGCTGTGTGACACGTCCATCTGGGGCAGACCCACCACCCACCAGTGAGAGCGTGGGAGAGACCCTGGGGAGTCAGTGACCAGGACAGAGTGGGCTGGGAGCAGGTATGTCTTAGTTAGGGTCTCCATAGCTATGCTAAAATGCCATGATGGCTAAGTAACTTTAGTTTCATTTCAGCGAACATGTCTCAGTCACACTCCATCATTCAGAGTCAGACAGGGTCCTGGAGGCAGGAGCTGATGCAGAGGCCATGGAGGGCACTGCTGACTGGCTTGCTCCCCATGGCTTGCTCAGCTGCTTTCTTATAGAACCCAGGACCGTCCGGTGGTGGTGGTGCACGCCTTTAATCCCAGCACTCCGGAGGCAGAGGCAGGCGGATCTCTATGAGTTCGAGGCCGGACTGGACCGACAGCCTCCAAAACAATACAGAGAAACCCTGTCTCAAAAAAAAAGAAAAAAAAAGAACCCAGGACCAGCAGCCCCAGAAATGGCACCACTCACAGTGTGCTGAGGCCCTCCCTATCAATCACTAATTAAGAAAATGCCCTGCAGGCCAATCTGGTGGGGCCATTGTCTCAACCCACAGGACTAGTTTGTAGCCAGTTGAAATAAAACTAGCCAGCACAGCCTTTAATCCCAGAATTCGGGAGACAGAGGCAGGAAGATCTCGGTGACTTCGAGGCCAGCCAGGTCTACAGAGCTAGGTCTAGGACAGCCTCCAAAACAATACAGAGAAACCCTGTCTCGAAAAACCAAACCAAACAAACAAAAAACTAGCCAGCACACAGGGGCTGCAGAGGATGGCTTTGTGTGGGGCCCTGTCTGCAGGCCCTTGGCCAGCCACCTCAGTGGAACCAAGAGGCCACACTGTGGACTGTCTGGTACCTCTGGTCCCACTGCAGCTGCCTGCATGCCTTGCAGAAGGCAAGGGCCATGCTGGACAAGCGAGGCCTGAGCGTCTCCCTCCAGCGGAAGTAGCGCTGGTAGCTCTGGCTGTCCTTGTCTAGCTGCTGCAGGTACTGAGCCAGGCGCGCAGGGCTCTCAAAGTCGTCCACGTGGATGAAGGCATCAGGGGGCAAGAAGCGTTCATAGTTCTTCCTGCTGGGCCCCAGGACCACGGGCACAGCCCAGGCGCCCAGAGCATTCTTCCACAGCTTCTCTGTGATGTAATCCGGGTGGAGCGAGTTCTCAAACGCCAGGTAAAACTTGTATCTGGCCAGCGTCTCCATCATGTCCCCCCGGGAAAGCGACATGTGTCCCCGGCCATACACGTCCACATGGAGGTGATTGCGGAGCTTCTGATAGTATAGCACCCGAGCCGACTTGGGGTTCCAGTTGGACACGGCCCAGGCCACCAGGTCAGTCTTGGCAGACATGTTGACCTGGGTTTGCACTGGAGGCTCCGGCCACGGCTCCAGCCAGCCATAGGGGGTGAAGATGTCAGAGTCACTGCGATAGGACATGGTGAGGTTGAAGTAGCCATCCAGGGCCGACAGCCTGCTGCAGTGGCTGGGCGACTCCAGGCTGAACCACACCCAGCGCTGGCTTGGTGGTCTCGGCTCAGCTGGCAGCCTCGACCTGGGGTTGGGGCTGATTTCTCGGTGGTGGAAGATGACCGCGTCTGCTTGGGGGTACAAGCTCCGGCTGACGGTCATCAGGCAGTCGGCCGTGCCTGGGAGCATCGTGGAACAGGGGGACAGAGTCAGCGGGCTGTGGAAGGGCCATGTCCACAGTAAGATGAGGAAGGGCCTGGGGGCAGGGGGAATTGGGGCGGAGGCTGGTCCTGTGGGGCCTTCGGGAGCTGGGGGGCCGGGTTGGTCCTGGGACACTCGGATGTAGGAGAAGAAACACAGGGCAAACAGCAGCTGCAGCAGCAGCCCTGTGAAGCACCGACGCCAGGGACACTGTCCCTTGGCTGCTCGGAGCACATCCATGGCCTGGGGGACCTGGGAAGAGAGAAGGCACCACAGGTCACAGTCATTTCTGTAGAAAATGACCAAATTGCCGGGCGTTGGTGGCGCACGCCTTTAATCCCAGCACTCAGGAGGCAGAGGCAGGTAGATCCACTGTGAGTTCGAGGTCAGCCTGGTCTACAGAGCGAGTTCCAGGACAGCCTCCAAAGCCACAAAGAAACCCTGTCTCGAGAAACCAAAAAAAAAAAAAAAAAAAAAAAAAAAAAAGAAAATGACCAAATTAACACTCCACATGTTTTGTTTTTAGAGACAGGGTTTCTCTGTGGCTTTGGAAGCTGTCCTGGAACTCGCTCGGTAGACCAGCTGGTCTTAAACTTACAGTGATCCGCCTGCCTCTGCCTCCCGAGTGCTGGGATTAAAGGTGTGCGCTACCAACACCTGGGTCAGCCTGGCACTTGATTGGATGTGGGGGGACACAACTATATTCCAAGCAATTCAGAGGCAGAAGCAGGTCCATCTCTGTGAGTTTACAGTCAACCTAGTCCACAGTGGGTTCCAGGCTAGCCTGGGCTATAGAGTAAGACCCTCTCTCTAAAAACAAAATCAAGAAATTCTGATGTTTTCATTGTGTTCTGGAAAACATTTGGAAATAAAAGCAAAAGCAGAATATGAATTTTGACTCTTGTGCAATAGAGGGTTTAGAACCCTGGGTGCTCTGAAACATACAGGGAGACCCATGATGTCACTGCCTCACTCTGGGCACCATGGGCTGGCCACACATTGCTGACATAGGTCACTAATGCTGCAAGTAGGACCCAACACAGACATACATGGGGACAAAACATCAGTGTACACAAAACAAACAAATCTTTAAAACAAGAAGAAATATAATTGCCAAGTCCCAGAGCCAGTCACAGCTGGGGACTGGTGCAGTATTTCTGTGATCTCGGGCACCCAACACATCCAAGATGACGAAGAAACACCCACAGCTTCCGAGACGGCACAGCCCATCCATCACTTGGAAAAGGAGTACATGGATCCCATCCGAGGGCATCCTCAGCTGTAGAGTGGGTTGGAGGCCAGACCCAAACTCAAAGACAACTGGGAAAAAAAAAAAAACACCAAGCACAGAAAAAAGCCCGGCAGTGGTGGCACACGCCTTTAATCCCGGCACTCTGGAGGCAGAGGCAGGCGGATCTCTGTGAGTTTGAGGCCAGAGCTACAAAGAGAAACCCTGTCTTTTTTTTTGTTTGTTTGTTTTTGTTTTTGTTTTTTGAGACAGGGTTTCTCTGTGTATTTGGAGGCTGTCCTGGAACTAGCTCTTGTAGACCAGGCTGGCCTCAAACTCACAGAGATCCACCTGCCTCTGCGTCCCAAGTGCTGGGATTAAAGGCGTGCGCCACCAATGCCTGGCCTGAGAAACCCTGTCTTGAAAAAAAAATCACAGAGTCAGACGTTGGTGGCACACGCCTTTAATCCCAGTACTCTAGAAGCAGAGGCAGACGAATCTTTGTGAGTTCAAGACCAGCCTGGTCTACACCAGCTAGTTCCAGGACAGCTTCCAAAGCCACAGAGAAACCCTACCTCGAAAAACAAAACAAAAAAAAAAAAAAGAAAGAAAGAAAGAAAGAAAAGAAAAAAATCACAGAAAAACAGAAGAGAGCATGGTGCTGTGTCCTTATCAGCAAAAAGTTCCTGGATTTTGGAGCCCAGTGTCAATGTTCCGGCTTTGACTTGACTCATTCTTTCATCTATAAAAGTTGTCTGACTGAATGTAATGGACGGACCATGCCACGTAGCCCAGAATGGCCTTGAACTCCTGTTCCTTCTGCCTTGGGCTCCCAAATACAGGGCACACCAGTATGCACCACCACAACCAGAGCCTGGCGTTGAAAAAATATTTTAAAATTAAAAATTAGGGCTTTCCAAATTGAAAATGATTCTCCATAAAACCAACCTTTGCTGTTTTTGTCTGAGCCCATTTATTTGGATGATAAAGGAAACTATCATCTGGAGAGACTCGTTTCCTAGAGCGTAAAAACGCAGCATGGCTCCTGAGGGCTGTGGGAAAGAAGACCCTGAGGGCAGCGGAAGGCTCAGCCTACAGGTAATCCTTGGTTCCCACGTGGGAGAGCAGAACCAAACACACGTACACATGTACAGTTACACATACACACACTCATACACAATCACACATGCACATACAAACATACAAATACACGAATAGATACATGCACACATAACAAATGTACTAAAAAAAACAAAAGAGTATGCACTAACAGGTTAATAACTTTCACTGTGGGTCACACGTGGGAATATTTCTGTGGGTCTGCTGACTATGGTGCAGTTTGGAGAGCTGAGAACGTTCTGGAGACAAACAGCAGGCTTGGCTGCTAGTCACAACCTCATTGCCATATCCTTCCTAAAGTTTTCCTGTTCTGTTTTGTTTTGTTTTTATATTTGTTTGGTTGGCTTTTTCGAGTCAGGGTTTCTCTGTGGCTTTGGAGGCTGTCCTGGAACTAGTTCTTGTAGAACAGGCTGGTCTCGAACTCATAGAGATCCCCCTGCCTCTGTCTCCTGAGTGCTGGGATTAAAGGCGTGCACCACCAATGCCTGGTTTCCTTTCCTTCTGTCAGGGATGGAACTCAGGGTTTGGAGGAAGTAAGGGCGGGTAGTGGGAGATGAGCCCTGCCCCTTACTGGGGAATTCTAGGCAGGGCTCCACCCCAGACCACACCTCCAATCCCTCTGTAGGTGGGACTCTAACCTAACCACCTCCCTAGCCCATCACTGGGGAATTCTAGGCAGGGCTGCACCCTGACCACACCCCCTAGCCCCTCACTGCTGGGTAATATTATTTTAAGGTGTTACTTTTATGTTGCATTTGTTTAACTCTGTCCAGTTGTGTTACTGATGATCTAATAAACAGCTGAATGGGCAATATCAAGGTTGGAGAGAGGGATAGGTGGGGCCAGTAGAGAAGGTAAATATGAGGAGAAATCTCAGAGAATAAAGATCTGGGAACGAGAGAGAAAGGAGGAAGACTTCAGGGACCAGCCACCCAGCTACACAGTCAGACACAGAGTAAGAGGGAAAGAAAAGGTATATAGGAATAGAGATAGATAAAAGCCCCAGGGCCAAAGAGAGATGGGACAATTTAAGTTAAGAAAAGCTGGCAAGAGCCGGGTGGTGGTGGCGCACGCCTTTAATCCCAGCACTCGGGAGGCAGAGGCTGGTAGATCTCTGTGAGTTCAAGGCCGGACTGGACTGACAGTTTCCAAAACAATACAGAGAAACCCTGTCTCGGAAAACCAAAAAATAAAAGAAAACCTGGCAAGAAACAGGCCAACTAAGGCCGGGCATTCATAACTAAGAATAAGCTTCCAAGTGTTACTTATCTGGGAGCTTGGTGGTGGACCCCTCAAAAAGCCAAAAGAGGAAAGTGTCACACAACACCTCACCGGGGGATTCTAGGCAGGGCCCCACCCTGACCATGAGCCCAGCCCCACACACGGGTTCTACACTGGACTACTCTAAGTTGCACACATGTTGAGCCCTCATACTTGTGGATAAGGACTTTTGTGTACTTTTAAAATCTCTTGTGAGAAGGGCGGTGGTGGCCCACACCTTTAATCCCAGCACTTGGGAGGCTGTGGCAGGGGGATCTCTGAGTTCGAGGTCAGCTTGGTCTACAGAGTGAGTTCCAGGACAGCCAGGGCTACACAGAGAACCTGTGTCTCAAACAAACAAACAAGCCTATCTCATGTATGAGTGTTTGCATTGGTGTGTGCTGTGATCATGGGTACCCACGGATGACAAACGTGTTGGATCTCTGGAGTTACAGGCAGCTGTCAGTGCTGGGTCAAACTCAAGTCCTCTGCAGGAGCATTGTAATTACCTAGCTCCTGACATGTCAGCTTTGTCAGGTCCTCTCTGTAGTGTCGGCTGACCTTGGACTCCTGATTCTCCCCAAGTGCTGGAATGACAGACACACACACACACACACACACACACACACACACACACACACACGTCTTTTCTGTTCCATTGTTTTTTAAGACGCGACGTGGGGGTCTGGAAGGAAATGGAATCTATAGGAAGTGGCACTGTTAGGAGGTGTGGTCCTGGTGGAGGACCTGTGTCACTGTGGGGTGGGCTTTGAGGTCTCCTATGCTCAAGCTGCTCTTAGCGAGGCAGTACACTTCCTGCTGCCTCCAGATGCAGATGTAGAACTCTCAGCTCTGCCTCCAGCACCATGTCTGCCAGAGTGACGCCATGTTTCCCGCCAGCACATGATGATCAAGGGCTGAACCTCTGAACTGCAAGCCAGCCCCAATTAAATGCTTTCCTTTACAAGAGTTGCCATGGTTGCTGGGCGTGGTGGCACACACCTTTAATCCAAGCACTGGGGAAGGCAGAGTCAGGCGGATCTCTGTGAGTTCCAGGCCAGCCTGGTCTACAAGAGCAGTTCCAGGACAGTCTCCAAAGCCACAGAGAAACCCTGTCTCAAGAAAAAAAAAAGTTGCAGTGGTCATGGTGTCTATCACAGCAATAAAATCCTATCTAAGACACATGGTATCCATCAGTAGTCAAGGCTCTACTTCAACTTATGGGAACAGTCTCCCAAGTGTTGTTATGTGGGACATACTCTTTTTTTTTTTTTTTTGGTTTTTCGAGACAGGGTTTCCCTGTGGCTTTGGAGGCTGTCATGGAACTCGCTCGGTAGACCAGGCTGGTCTCGAACTCACAGTGATCCGCCTGCCTCTGCCTCCCAAATGCTGGGATTAAAGGCGTGCGCCACCAACGCCCGGCGGGACATACTCTTATACGCCTTTACTCCCAGCACTTGGGAGGCAGAGTCAGGCAGGGCTCTGTGAGTTCAAGGCCAGCCTGATCTGCAGAGCAAGATTCCAGGTCAGCGAGGTCCACACAGAGAAGCCCTATCTCAGAAAATGGGTGCATGATGCGGGGTGCGTGACGGTCAGGGGTCAACTTTGAGACGTTCCTCTCTGCTCCACCTTCATGTGGGTCCCGGGATCTGACTCGGTCTCCCAGGCAGTCACCACAACTGCCTTTGCCCACTTGGCTTTTCGTTTTTAAGGATTAAAAAAAAAAAAACAGGGCCTCTCTATTTTTGTAGCTTGGCTAACCCGGAACTCGCTGTGTAGACCAGGCTGGACTGAAACTCACAGAGATCTGTTTGCCTCTGTCTGTTTTGGAGGATTGGAAGCAAAAGGGTCATCCTAATCCAAACTGCCCTTGGCAAACTTCCCCCCAATCCTCCTGCCTCAGCTTTTCAAGTGTCAGGGCGAGAGGCATGTGCTCCTGAGCCACTTTATTTCTAGAAAGGGAAAGAGACACCCCCTCCTGGAGAAGACACCCTAAGCCCGAGTAGACGGGAGCTGGAGACGGGAGGGGTAGCAGCAGCCATACTGGGGTCCCGATGCAGGGAGGTCGACGTGAAGATTGGGGGAGGGAGAAGAGCCAACGGGGGCGGGGGTCTAGGCTGACCCACTGCAGCGGGGTGGGGGCAGGGTGCCGTCTGGGGATTCCCTCACCCCTGAATCCTCCGTCTCCCTCGCTCCTTCTGCAGGGCCGAGAGATGCGGGCAGATATTCGAGAACGTCTCCTCGGGCTGGCAGTGTGTCCACGGGCGGGCGTCAGCTCCAGCAGGCGGCACACGCGCGGGGAGTAGGCGCACGCGCGAGCCACCAGGGTGGGTGCCCGTCCCGGGCGTGCCAAACAGCGCCACAGACAGACCCGTCTGCGCCTGCGTGCGTGCGGGCCTCGCCCTCGAGCCCCAGCCGTGATTGGGGAGTGGGCCGATGGCGGGAGAGAGAGGTTCCTAGTGTCCTAGGAGAAAAGGGGAAGCCGATGGGGGAGCAGGGGCTGGGGCGATGGGTCAGTGCGTGCTGCGTCTGCTTTGCGAGCACGAAGACCTGACTTGGATCTTCAGGCCCACGTGAAAAGCTGCCACGGGGCAGGAGGCACTGGGGACCTGAGGACCACAGGATCCGGGCCTGGCGTGGGGGGCGTGGCGCCTCCCAGGAGGAGAGAGTGCCAGGTGCAGCCAGAGCCCCTGTTCTGGAGGCAACCCCACTGGCCTCTGCCCCGGTAGGGTTGACACGTGCGCAGGAGCGGGTCACACAGGCAAGGGACCACATGGGCAGAGGAAAGGCTGAGGCTCGGGGCAGTCACACCTGGGTGGAGTGGCACAGGCTTGTCGCCCGAGCATGCAGGAGGCGTGAATATCAGATGTTCCTGGCCGACTGCGGCAACGTCCTGAGTTCTAGGCGCACCCGAGACTGTTTCAAATCAAACTCCAACAAAAATGTGGAAGGGACCGCTGTGCGGTCCTCACCTCTGCCCACCAGGGCCACTTGTGACAGATACGGGTCGGGTCACGTGGGTGGAGGCCAGAACCGTTATGCTGCTCACATCTGAGTGGATCCCGAACTCCACACCAGACTGGCTCCCTGGGGTCCTGTCTGTCTCCTTCCACAGGCTAAAAATAACTCGCTGCCCACCTATGGGGAGGGGCAGGTCTGGGGCGGATCCCAGCACCATCCAGCCCAAGCTGTCACCTACCAGGCACAGCTGGGTCGCCAAGGACCTGGGTCCGGTAACGCTAAGCTGTGACTGGGGGTGGAAGGATGGGGTGGAATGCACCATGGGCTGGGGTGTGGGTGACGATGCCTTGGTGCACCTTGACGCCTGTAGGTGCCAGGCAGTATTGGGTTCCCAGAGCTGAGGTCTGGGGCCCACGAAGTGTGAGGGTGCTTTGACCCCAGCTTGCCGTGAGCCTGACATCTGCAGACATCCGGCTTCGAGGCTCACAGGTGTCTTCCCCTGCCCAGCTTTCTCAGTGACCAGGGGGCTGAAGACAGATGTACCTCTGCCCCAGTGCCCCAGAGTGGGGGCTCCCAAGGGCATTCCCCTCTTCACCCACAACAACTCAGGAAGACCTCCCTGGTGCCCCGTAGGACATGCTGCTGCCCCAGCCTCTGGGTGTTCCCTGTGGGTGAGGGATTGGGGCCACATCCCTGCCCCGAGCTCTGTCCAGACCCCCAGTTCCTTGAGACACGAGGAGGAAGGAAATGGATTTTCCACTCCCCAGTGGTGACCGAGAGGCCAGAACCCCCACATGCTGTGGAAACCCCTTAGTGAATGCTCCTGGCCTCAGTTTCCCCAATGTGGTCAGATCACAGAGCCTCAGAGTTGGCCTGGGAATCCAAAACTGTCCTCTCTGAGGCTCCCTAGCCCAGGCAGGTGTGTGTCCCCAGGCCCACCCAGGCCTGCGGGGACATTGGCCTCCTGTCTTCTGCCTACTTCCAACATGCCAGCCGCAGAGAGGGGTGGAGCCTACCAGGAGATGGAAACGTAAACAGAGCGTCTCCCACAGCCTCAGCTCTGCACCCAGGCTGGGGAGACGCACGGGGCCACCCACGAGGCTGAGGCTCCCGGTCACCCCCACTCAACGCTTTGTGCTCAAGCATCCCCAGGGGAAGGACGCACTCGTGGTCACCCTGAGTGACACTCACAGAAGAAGGCCTCATCTGGATCACCTCGACACTACCCACGCCTGCAAATACCACAGGGGTTGCTGGGGTCATAGGCACCAGGAGCAACTGAGGCAGACCCGCCACCCACCAGAGGGCAGGGCTCTGGGAAGTCGAGTGTGTCTGCAGCAGGGTCTGTCGATGTGGCTCAGGCTTCCGGGTACTCACATCCCCAGTGGGCAAAGAGGAAGACCCCAGAACCAAGGCTCTGGACGGCTGAGATGCCCATCAAGGGAGTGTCTGTCACACAGGGGCTGCAGAGGATGGCTTTTGGGTGGCGCCCTGTCTGCAGGCCCTTGGCCAGCCACCTCAGTGGAACCAAGAGGCCACACTGTGGACCGTCTGGTACCTCTGGTCCCACTGCAGCTGCCTGCATGCCTTGCAGAAGGCAAGGGCCATGCTGGACAAGCGAGGCCTGAGCGTCTCCCTCCAGCGGAAGTAGCGCTGGTAGCTCTGGCTGTCCTTGTCTAGCTGCTGCAGGTACTGAGCCAGGCGCGCAGGGCTCTCAAAGTCGTCCACGTGGATGAAGGCATCAGGGGGCAAGAAGCGTTCATAGTTCTTCCTGCTGGGCCCCAGGACCACGGGCACAGCCCAGGCGCCCAGAGCATTCTTCCACAGCTTCTCTGTGATGTAATCTGGGTGGAGCGAGTTCTCAAACGCCAGGTAAAACTTGTATCTGGCCAGCGTCTCCATCATGTCCCCCCGGGAAAGCGACATGTGTCCCCGGCCATACACGTCCACGTGGAGGTGATTGCGGAGCTTCTGATAGTATAGCACCCGAGCCGACTTGGGGTTCCAGTTGGACACGGCCCAGGCCACCAGGTCAGTCTTGGCAGACATGTTGACCTGGGTTTGCACTGGAGGCTCCGGCCACGGCTCCAGCCAGCCATAGGGGGTGAAGATGTCAGAGTCACTGCGATAGGACATGGTGAGGTTGAAGTAGCCATCCAGGGCCGACAGCCTGCTGCAGTGGCTGGGCGACTCCAGGCTGAACCACACCCAGCGCTGGCTTGGTGGTCTCGGCTCAGCTGGCAGCCTCGACCTGGGGTTGGGGCTGATTTCTCGGTGGTGGAAGATGACCGCGTCTGCTTGGGGGTACAAGCTCCGGTTGACGGTCATCAGGCAGTCGGCCGTGCCTGGGAGCATCGTGGAACAGGGGGACAGAGTCAGCGGGCTGTGGAAGGGCCATGTCCACAGTAAGATGAGGAAGGGCCTGGGGGCAGGGGGAATTGGGGCGGAGGCTGGTCCTGTGGGGCCTTCGGGAGCTGGGGGGCCGGGTTGGTCCTGGGACACTCGCATGTAGGAGAAGAAACACAGGGCAAACAGCAGCTGCAGCAGCAGCCCTGTGAGGCACGGACGCCAGGGACACTGTCCCTTGGCTGCTTGGGGCACATCCATGGCCTGGGGGACCTGGGAAGAGAGGGGGATCATAGGAACATGAGGTGCCAGCATTATTATTCATGGTCATTTGAAATTTTCAGAAGGGTCTCTTGTAGCGCAGGCCGACCTCTAATAGCTACGCAGCCAAGGACATGGTCAATGCCTGGCCTCTCTGGCTCCTGTCTGAGTACAGGGATGACAGGCGTGTGCCAGCCTGCCCAGCTAAATCCTGATAGAACTGTTATCGTTTCCAATGTGACAGACGACAGAACTCAAAGGATGTCACAGCCAAGAACCAGCGACCCAAGGACCTGACCCCGTGGGCCTCTCCTCCTCCATGCTTGGGTCCCTAGGAAAGGCTGCTCTCTGTTCCCACCTGGACTCCACCTTTTCCCAGTCTCTTCAACTTCAGGGAATACAGAGCTGGACAGAATAGCTCGCAGACGGTTCTAGAGTTTTGATTCTAGGATACTGGCTGGAAGGAGTAAGATGATAAAGTCTGAGGCTGTGTAAGAGGTCCCGCCTTCATCCAGAGATGAAACTTTCAGGGCCTCTGCTTTTTGGAACTGTCCGTCTTACAAAGGGGAAACTGAGGCTCAGAGACAGGCATCCATCTGGTCATGTACACTCAGTCACCGATGACCCAGACCTACCATTCCCCTGCCCCAACTTCCCCCCAGGTACCCGTTGGCCCCCCAATCCACAGACAGCCCAGGTCTGTGGGATGGTGGGGATGCCATCTTTGGGTGCCTTCTGCTAGGGGACTACAGAACCTTCCAGCATGGCTGTTGGCAGCTGCACAGGTCAGTGCCAGCCTCCCCTCCATTGTCCTCTGCCTTGTATTGGAGACAGAGTCCAGGTGGTTCAGTGACAAGAGTTCCTCCTGTGTCCACCCCCCAGCCTTGGGCTTTGAGGCGTGTAAATATACGGCTTTTTAGTGTGAGCATTGGTGATCCGAACTCAGGTCCTTTCCCAGGTGGCAAGTGCTTTACAGACCGAGCCAACTCCCCAGCCCTTTTGGATTTTTGAGACAGAGCCTCATGTAGGCCAGGCTAGCCTTGAACCCATGGTGATCTCCCTATTTCGGCCTCCTTGGGTGCTGTGGTATTCCACCTGCCTGGCTTAAGAGTCCTGTAAATACTGATGCTTGGGCCTGGAGATGGCTCAGCCGTTATGAGCGCCAGCTCCTCCTGCTGACGACCTGGGTTCCATTCCCAGCATCGTCACAGCAGTCAGCTCACAACCACCTGTAACTCCAGCTCCAGGGAACCCAATGCCCCCTGCTGGCCTCTGCAGCCTCTGCACTCACGTGCACACAGGAAAACCAACAAAAACCAGCAGGAGCAAAACAAAGAACGGAAAAGAAACGTGGACTGGACAGATGGCTCAGCAGTTGAGAGCACTGGCTGTTGTCCCTGAGGATATGAGTTCAATTCCCAGCACCCACATGGCAGCTCACGGCTGTCTGTAACTCCAGTTCCAGGGCTTCTAACACCCTCAAGCTGACGTTCATGCAGGTGAAACACCAATACATGTGAGAATTAATTAATAACACAGGTGCTGGGCACTCCTGCCAGTAAGAAATCCCAGATGAAAACGTTGCCCTTTGGATTTCTCTTACTGCTGCCTGTTCTGCCCAGTACAAGGGATTTGACCTTGAACTGTCCTTGCCTTCCCCTGTCCCTTGCCTTAGCCAGTGGCCACACTGAGGGCCAGGAGCACTGAGCGGTGAGCTCACAGGGGCACTCTTTAAAAGACTGACAGACAGGTCACGCTGTGTAGCCCAGGGTGGTCTTCAACGCCTGCTCCTCCTGCCTCAGGTTTCCTGGGACACAGCTCGCCAGTGTGCTCTCGCACACCCAGAGCTTCACTTCCAAATAAAGCCCCCCATTTACATGTAAAATTTTTAATTTTGTTTGTTTGTTTTGCTTTTATGTCTGAGACCAGTTCTCTCTGTGTAGCCCTGGCTGTCCTGGAACTCGTTCTGTAAATCAGGCTGCCCTTGACCTCATAGAGATCCACCTGCCTCTAGGTGTGGAGAGGGGCTCCACCCCTGGCCTCGCCCCCAGCCCCTCACTGGGAGATTCTAGGTGGAACCCCTCCGCTAACCACGCCCCCAGCCCCTCACTGGGACCCTTCTCAGGAGGCTCCATTCCTGAGTCCTTAGTGACCTATAATCTGAATTGCGGGTTTGCCAGCTATAAACCCAGGCAGGTGGGCGGGTGAAGGATGAGTTGGTGTTCCAACCCGGGCCCCCTCCCTCCAGCAAGAGCAAGGTGATTGATTTGAAGACAGGAGGGTGACAGGTTGGACCAACCCTGTTTTTGGGTGTGTCACCACTGTCACTGCTGTTTATTACTTTGGGGAATTGTTTATTACTCCCAGAGTTCGGCTTTCATATCGGTGTCACTGGGCAGCCCTAACTGATAGGGAGCGGTGACTTGCACAAGTGACCTGAAGAGGACACACTGGAGAACAAAGGAGAGTCAGATCCCATCTACACAGAGCCCAAGATACTTTTCCTAGAAGAATGGAAAATCCACTTTCCTGGAATGGAACAGAAGTCAAGCTTCGAGGCCGGGCCAGCATTCCAGAAACTGGGGCAGGAGGGTAGAGCACTTAGGCTAACCCAGGCACCATCTCAGAACAGAGGGCGAGGGGTGAGGACTGTGGGCAGCGCTCGCCCAGCACAGAGAGCCCTGGGTTCTGTCCACAAAACCAGGCCTGGCGGAGTAGAAGCAGGAAGATTGGAGTCGGGTCATCCTTGGCTACATAAGAGGTTGGAGGCCAGTGTAGACTTTGTGAGATTCAGAAAGAAAGACGCTACAGCAACACCAACTGAAGACACAAGCAGACACAGCCACGACTGGGCTGTCCCTTCTCTCGTGTGAGAAAACAAACAGGTGTGGGCCGGTCTGTCTGCGGACTGTATGATTTCCAGCCCTGGTCAGGGTAAGGTTTAAATTCCCCTGACTGTCCCTGGAAAGTCTCTCTCTGCTCCATAAACCCAGACCCACCCTGCCGCTGCTGCCTCGTCTCTGGGCCGGGTAGCTCTCCCAGCCAACCAGACCCTCCCCATCGATCCTGAACCAGTCCGGGCTGCCCCAGGAATAAAAGGTAAAGCAAGCCAAGGGTAGGCTAGCGGAAGGACTAAAGTCAAGGCTAAAAACGTCTCTCCCGAGAGGTGCTCCAGACAGAACTGGGCCAGTGAAACGGTCTCCCCGGTGGTCTTACCTGGATCAGGAAGCAGCCGCAGTCAGAGCTGGTCAGCAGCAGCTGCTCCTTCCCAGGGTGCTGATTAACTCCGAGAAAGGGAAGGAGGAAGTGGATTTCAGTTGTCTCCTTTATTCAGGTGACCCAGCCCATTGTTGGGCCTACCCCAGCCACTGGCAGCAGCCTCCCCATGAACGATGCCCTATATTTAAGGTCCCACCTATGCCTTTGTCTGAAGCTGAATGGCTTAGAGCTGGCCTCTGAGCCGCTGTCTCAGAGGTGCTGGTCCCTAATAAGTGCCAACGGGCCCCTCTGAATGAGAAGAGGGAGGCAGGGGGCCGTGCAAAGGCTCTGAGGCAGCCAAAGCCTGGAGCTCCTTTAGGACAGCTGATGGTGAAGCCGTCACCCTCTAGCACAGGGCATCGGGCAGAGAGATGATCCATGGGCTTGTGGTCACTGCCCCAGGCTGTGGCACAGGAACGTCATGCACTTGTGACTGCAAAGCCATCATGTCCTTCCATGAGTTCTCCTGGCTATCGGGGGAACTTCTTTCCCTCTCCTGGCAGGTTGGTTCTTAAATCAGAGTCCATCTTGGGGATGGACACGGCCGACTGAGGTCTCCATCCTACCAAGTCTCTCTGCTCGATCACCTAGAGTCCTGCCACGCCAGGTTGGTGGATGTCCCAGGGAACTGGTTTCCTGAAGGAGGTGGCTGGATTAGTCTGTGACTGGACTTTACACAGAATGATTTACGGGCATAAATTCCTCATTTGTCCATGTTAATGTCACTGTGCCCTTGGCCTGTGGCCAAGCCCTGGGTGGGTGAGTTTTTTGTAGGCACCTCTTCCAGGAAGCCTCCCCAGGCTAAATCCTCTGTCCTTCCAGCTTTCAGAGTTCCCTGGGTATTTGAAGCTCAGGCTGCTTCTCCTGGCTGAGCTACAGAGGGTAAGACTGAAGGGCCAGGAGATGCAGGATCATATTTCACAGAATAAAACGCATCATTTATTTATTTATTTTTGGTTTTCGAGACAGGGTTTCTCTGCATTGTTTTGGAGGCATTCCACCAGGAATGGTCTCGAACTCACAGAGATCCGCCTGCCTCTGCCCGAGTGCTGGGATTAAAGGCGTGCGCCACCAACGCCCGGCTTATTTTTTCATTTTTTGAGACAGGTTTCTCTGAGTAGCCTTGACTGTCCTGGATTTAACTCTGTAGACCAGGTTGACCTCACTGCCTCCCGAGTGCTGGGATTAAAGGTGTGCGCCACCACGGCCCAGTGTAAATAAAATGAATTCTAAACGTGGGTCTCCAGCAGAGGCTCAGAGGGCCCTGGTCATTTAACATGGGGCTATTGTCTGTATGTGCGCTTGTGTCTTTGAGCCTGATTTTTGGTTACTGAGGCAGCCAGACCTGGGCTCTGTCTACAACCCAGTCTACAACCCAAAGTCTAGCAGCAGGCTCACTGGTTGATGTTTGATTTCTAGATGTCTCCAAAAGTCACAAGGAGGCCGGGCGTTGGTGGCGCACGCCTTTAATCCCAGCACTCGGGAGGCAGAGGCAGGCGGATCTCTGTGAGTTCGAGGCCAGCCTGGTCTACAAAGTGAGTTCCAGGACAGCCTCCAAAGCTACAGAGAAACCCTGTCTGAAAAAACCAAAAAAAAAAAAAAAAAAAAAGTCACAAGGGGAGCTCGGCTATCCCAGCCTTCCTGCTGTAGAGTGGTGTGTGGTGGCCTCCATGTATCCCACCCGCCTCTGGCAGTAACCGGCTCACTCTCATTTGACCCCTGGCCAGATGGATTGTGGGGGTGGCGCTGGGGAGCCTCACATACCAGCTCCCAGGTGTGAGGGCCCCTGGCGGCCCTGGAGCAAGAGCCATGCATCCATCAGCAGGTCACTGTGGGGCGTGGGCTGCCCTGGGGATGGCAGGAATTTTCCACACTCCTAAGCCCAACCTGCGGAGCCTCCTGCAGGCTGGAAGCCCCTGGGTGCAGCCCAGCACCATGATGACGGTCAGACCACCAGGTGGTGGGTGGCACGGTGATGTTCCCAGGGGAAGTACCACAGCCCTAGGCTGAGCCCTGAGCCCTGAGCCCCAGATGTGAACCTACCCAGGCTGAGCCCTGATCCCCAGATGTGATCTGACCCAGGCTGAGCCCTGATTCCCTGGCTGAACCTTGATCCTCAGCTGAGCCTCTGACCCCAGCCTGAATTCTGATCCTCATTTGACTCCTGATCTTGGGCTGAGCCCCAACTCTGAATCTCAGTGGCAGATAAGGGGAGGTGGGGTTCAGAACCCCTGTTCCATCTTGCGTCTTATGAGCCTTCCCAGAGAATTTCATCCATCCATAAGGACTAGGAATGACCCTGCAATCCTGTGTATGTGAGCATGTGCAGGTGCGTGTGCAAGTGTGTGTGTTGTATGACTGGAAATGAACCCACATCCCTGTGTGTGCAAGAGTGTGTGTGTATACATGCCTAAGAATGAACCTGCAGCCCTGTGTGTGTGTGCATGAGTGCACGTGTGTGTGTGTGTGTGTGTGTGTGTCTGCATGCCTAGAAATGAACCTGCAGCCCTGTATGTGTGCATGAGTGCATGTGTGTGTGTGTGTGTTTGTGGGAGTGTGTGGGAGTGCATGTGTGTCTGCATACATGGCTGGAAATGAACCAGCTGTCCTGTGTGTGTGCCTGCGGAGGCCAGAGGTCAGCCTCGGCTGTCCGCCTCATTGTTCTATCTGGTTTTCTGCGGGTTTCACTGGCATGAACTCCGCAGTTCAGATAGGCTGTTTGACCAATGAGCCCCCCCCGTGTCCTCCTCCCCAGCGCTGGATTACAGCCGCACACCACTAAGTGCAGCTGTCTCCGTGGCTTCTGGAGATCAGACTCAGGACCTCAGGCTTGGAGTCGCCCACAGCCCTTTGACGGCAGGAGGCTCCTTGAGGATCTGGTCATGCTCCATACACCTCCCCCTGAGGATCCTGCTCCCCTTCATGCTGCCACCTCAGCAGCCTCTGTGGACCTTTTACTGACAAGCCACCCATTGTGTGGCGTCCTTTTCAGAGATGTTTGTACTGCCTGATCTTCCTGGTCACACCTTGGTCACACAGCTGGGCAAACCACTCAAGGGCTGGAGAGGGGCAGAGGGACCAGCCACTGACGTGTCAGGGCCAGTGGGTGGGGTCAGGGCACCCCTGTCCAGGGCTGGGGGCCAGCGTTCCTCCCGAGAGTGCTGTGGACCCAGAGACTTCTTCTGACCCTCTCTGAGCTGATATGCCATAGCTTAGGAAGGGGCCTCTGGAAGTCCCTACTGCAGGCTCAGGGCCAGTTTGGACCAGCTTCTAGGATGGGGCGGGGCCATCCACATGTTAAGAGAGTCTCGGCTCTCCTCAGGCCTCAGAAGGCCTCCCTCAGCTCCAGCTCACAAGCCCTACTGGGGCTTTTGACCTTGAGGCGCTGGGGGCTGTGATGGTGGAGGGGTCTGCTTACAGGCTGCAGGCCGTTCACCACCCTGTGACTCAGGGGGTGGGGTACAGGGCTCTCAGGCCCATGCCTGTCCCCCGTAGACTCAGGACCTGCTCCTTCCTCACTGCCACGGCCTCCTGAGCCCCTCCCTGCACACCAGCCAGGTGTTCTGTGTGGGTGGCTGGGGAGCCGTGGGTTCACAGGAGCTGGCTCAGGCCCGGGGTCACTGGTGGGCTTGTCAGGCCCCCCACGTTGCCTGCTGTCAGGGGCTCCTTCCGGCTTCCCACCTGGGTTAGTCAGAAACGTACACACTGTGTATTCACTGGGAAGGTGGGGAAACTGAGGTTCAGTGAGCTCTTGAAAATCACCATTACCCACCCAACCTGTTCTCTCTCGGTGGCTGCTTTGTTTTTGGATTTGTTTATTTTAGGGTATCGATGTGTAGTTCTTGGAACTCTGCAGACCAGGCTGGCCTCGAACTCACAGAGATCCGCCTGCCTCTGCCTCCGGAGTGCTGGGATTAAAGGCGTTTGCCACCACTGCCCTGCTCCCTAGGCATTCTTGAGAGTAGCAACCCCCTCAGACCCAGAGTGTTCTAGAACTTTCTAGAAATCCTCATTTACAGTCCTAACCCTAACCCCTACCAGGTGGATCTGTGCTAAAGCCTCCATCTGACCTCAGGCCTCCTGATTTTGGAGCACAAACCTATCTCTGGAAGCTGTGTGGCATTGGGCGTGATGCCAGCGCGTCTCTGAACCTACCTTGCTTGGTCTGCAAACAGAAACAGAACCTGTGCCAGCGCCATCTGTGGGGATGGGGGCATTCGTAATTATCCATCTGTGAACCTGAAAGGTCTTCACATATCTTGCTACAGAACTGTGAGCATAAGCCAGAAAACAGCCTCAGTGTCCCCTCCTGTATTACTTTTAAGAACTTGGCTTGAGGCCGGGCGTTGGTGGCGCACGCCTTTAATCCCAGCACTCGGGAGGCAGAGGCAGGTGGATCTCTGTGAGTTCGAGGCCAGCTTGGTCTTCAGAGCGAGTTCCAGGGCAGCCAGGGCTACACGGTGAGACCCTGTCTAAAAAAATAAATAAAAGAGCTCAGCCTCTCCCTGCATCCCATCCCTCCGGGGCTGGGGGTGGTGGAATGCAGCCAGAGTCCGGGAAATCCAGGTGACAGAAACCTGGCATGGCCTCACCACCCGCCCCCGGCCTGTCCTCACCCCGGGGCCCCTGGCACGTTGGGGTCTGCCTGCGCTGGCACCCCAACCCCTCCAGGTTCACACGGCTTAAGTTTCAGCTCCTGGTGGGTGAAGAGGAGGGCCAGGCATGCTTGATTTCCAATTTCTGGAAATAAATAAATGTCACCAGGCCATCTTTTGTCAAGTAGAGGGAAGAAATTTAAAAAGAAAAGAAAAGAAAAAAAAAAAAGCCCCTTGCCAAGGAGTGTGTGAGAAAAAACAGGACCTTGTAGGTGCAAGGCAACTGGCAGAGAAAATTCCAGAGACTGCAGGGCCAGAACAAAGGGGCCTTTCTCTCTGGCAGGTTTTGGGGAATCGAGGTATGGTGGTATGAAAAGTTAGAAAAAAACAGTCAAGAATGTTGCCAGAAGGAAAGCAGCTAGGCTGTGAGGAAGAGGTTAAAAATACAGTCGTGTTTGGTTTTTCAGGGCTTTTATTTGGGAGACTTGCTTTTTCTAGGACACCTGTCCCACACTTGGGTAAAAGAAAAAAAAAAAGCTAGAATGTCATGTCAACAACCTGGGCAACGGGCCCAGCACCACGGGGAGCATATGGAGATGCCACGCGCTGAAGACGCTCTGGAATTTGTCCCCATCCGCCCTGCCGTCCCATTAGCATTCTCTAGAGAGCCATAATTTCCCCTCCTTGGACTCGCAGAATGTTCCGGAAGCCCTCATTTACAGCTGGAATCCACCTGCCAGCTACTGAGACTCAGCAAGCCCAGCTGCGGTCCTCAGGGCTGTCACCTCCCAAGTCGGCACGGTGACAGGGAGCGGATATGAGGCCAGCCTCCATCCCAGACCCTCCCTGGACCCGCCAAGGACGCTGGTGCACGCCCCAACACACCTCACCTTTCTGCAGGGCCCGAGGCTCACCGGATAGAGCACTCACCCGGCACGCATGGGACTCAGGGTCCATCCCCAGCTACAGGGCAGGCTGGAAGCCAGCCTGAGCTTCGTGAGACCCAACCCACACAGGGAAATGA